GAACGACACAATTTGACGTTCATACGTTTTTCACGAGACCGTGTTCTTGAAATGACGTAAACACTGACGGACTACTTCCACATTCCTGGGGAAACCCCTGGGAATTCCCTAGCACGAAAACATACATTAGCATTATATCTGATCATTTAGAACCTTTTATCCTGGTCTCAGCATTTCAGTATACATTGAGAAACGTAAGAGAGCTTGACTGCATGATTGTTCACAAATTTCCTCGTTACGGCCCATCCTAATGAACAAACGAAAAAATGCACATCCAAACTATCGTCAGTATCGACTCGATCTGTATCTAGGCTGACAGTGACCGTCTCCAGCAATCTACGAATTTACCTTGGTGTCTGTTTGACGCATCTTTAATCACCTTTCAATAATCGGTCAGTTGATCAATTATGACTAACACATGTAACCGCCACAGGTTCATTAACAACTTCGGAAATCCTCCCGTCACGTTTATCGTGTCGGCCATTTTGACGTCTTGTACTTGATGTAATTTATGTATTACGACGCGCTGTCATTGTGACTGACTTACTGAGGTAGTTCATTACAGACCTTTCTCATCTAATGGGGATATTATATGAACACATGTGTTGCGTAAGATGTTTCTGAAGAGCAAGTTGTGCATCCATACACTCATGTCACCTCTCTTTTCGGGGATCTATTTTATTCCGCGATATTGCTGGTTGTTGTTTGGCTGTCAGTGTAAACATGAAGTCACACGTACTAAATAAAATTGTGTTTAGATCTTGGCCTACGTCCTTTGAGGAAAGAAATTGTGATAAAAAATTATAAGAATTGACCTTCACTTTGTGTGAGTTCATTGAGTATGAACCTGCATAGAGTGAGGGCCAAACATTGTATGAACGTCGTCGCAAGCTCCGACGTTCATACAGTTTGGCCCTCACTCTATGCAGGTTCATACTCCAATGAACTCACACAAAGTGAAGGTCAATTCTTAAGTATACACCAATGTTTGATGGTGGCTAAAATGAAACAAACAAGAAATGTTTATTCAAAGGTGATGAATTTGAAAGGGTATCATAGTTGTGTTTTGGACCTTAAATTTGCAGTGTTTCGCGACTGTTTTCAGCCTATTAGCAATTTCTTAACCTTTGTAATGAACATCTTCCCGAGGCAAGATAGTTAAGTGACTTGCCGAACTGGGCTGGAATTTCGGAGTCATGTTTTAGCTGGACTAACGAGTCTACGTATTGTCCATTCAAAATCGCTTAACGAAATCGACATCCGGTTCTTAAACTGGCCTGCAGATTTCGGTCAAATGCAGGATTTGCAAAGCATGTGTACCGTCAACTGGGCGTTGACAGATATTTTCCAAACTTTTTCATGTTTGTAATCTTCATCTTGATTAACGATCAGTTCAATCTAATTAAAATCAGATCTTAGTTCTCACTACCGCAAAACACAGATCTGAGGACATCCCATTATACAGGTCACGGACTAGTACAAGCAGCCGCAAACACACACACACACACACACACACACACACACACACACGTGCATGCACGTCTCTATTTAAGTACAATAATCTTGGACGCGACGTTAATTTTTTAATTACACTGCAGTGATATACCCTTGCTCTCATCCTCATGTGCAGGTCAGTTTTGGATTACAGATTGAGATTATTATACGAACACGTGTGTCATACTGATTTCACGAACCGCGTGTCAGAATTTCTGTATTTCCCAACCGAGAACGAAGGTAATACATGAATTCTTAAAGGAGTTTCGTAAAATCAGAATGACACATATGCGGGTGTAATAATGTCTTTTGTAACTTGCTATTTCTTATCCTTTTGAGCGCCCCTCAAATGTTAACAATCTTCAGCTATTGTTTCCGACCTTATAATAAAAATCGAATGACGTCAACAATGCCGTTCGGACGGCGTAAAGAATACTCTGGTGCACGTGAAGCGATCTGTGCACTAGTGCACATGTGATTATTATCAACTTGGTTATTTCAACCCTATGGGTAATAGATCACGACGCACTGGATGACCGATGATGAGAGAACAGTGAGAAGCTAACGTTGCCAAAGGTAATGACGTCAGCAATGATTGACTAAATTACGTCAGGTAATCAACAATGACGTCTTCATTACACCAACAATCGTATCAAACCTACGTGCGTGAAAGTAAAAGAAGCATTCCGCGTGTGCTTCATGTGTACTTTTATTGATCCGATTATTGGAACCCTGTACGTGATGAATTAGCAAATAACCAGCAAGCTACGTTGAAATTACGCATTTCCTGTCCAGAGTGAAAGAATGAATGAATGAATGAATGGTGAGGTGAAATGGGGTTTAGCGTCGCATTATCATTGCACATTATAGCTACGCGTGTGAACGTGCGTGCGTGCGTGCGTGCTTGTGTGTCATGCCCCAGTTTAACATGAATACTCCCCCCAGACACATAAAACTGAGATCCGAGCCCTTTGACTCCATATTTGCACAATTTATTCACGAGGAACAGATAATCAGTACTTCCTGGTTTCGGGTGATGATAAATGTTCAGTATGAATGTTTGCACGTTGAAGTACCGTTTTCAACACTGGTTGCGTCAGCAGTGATCTAATTGTAAAACACAATAGATTAAATATCACACACAAATAATTTACTGTGAAAGAAAACTTTGTCCCTGTGAACTCGTTATATAATTAGTGCTGAATGGTATGAAATCTTCCATTTTCCGAGTGGTTGTTTGGGGTGTACATGGTCATTTAGTTTAGTAGAAATACAAATACTACACACCCAACTAGTTTTCATTTGTTTGTTTGTTATTTAATGCCGCACTCTGCAATATTCCAGATATATGACGTCGATCTGTAAAATCATCGAGTCTGGACCAGACAATCCAGCGATTGACATCATGAGCATCGATCTGCGTAATTCGGATACGATGACATTCATCAACCAAGTCACCGAACCTGACCACCCGACCCCGTTAGTCGCCTTTTACGGCAATCATGAGTTGCTGAAGACCTATTCTAACCCGGATCTTGACGGGTCCCCAACTAGTGCCATGTGCAAGTCATATATGGCATTTAAATGGTAATTTGGCTCAGAGTACTTAAACAGACTGTTAGGAGATTTTCTCAATCGATAAAATAGTTCAGTGAAAAAATGCAAGCACCCGACGCGTCAATTGGCGATCAACCTTTTTTTTTAAAGCAGTGTTCACAAAGGCTCCGAGAGGTCCCGCTGATAACAAAACTGTCCGCCCTGTCAACAAACCGGCGTTTTTTCTGGCGCTATTATTAGAGTGTCCGTAAAAATACCGGTAATCCAACTGTTAGCTCACTGTCACTGTAAATAACGGACAAGGAAATCCGGTCAGATGTGAAGGAGCAGATTATTAACAAATAGTCTTAACATGTGACCTGTTAGTGATACCATCCTTCATCAGGGATTGACACTACATAACCACTGGCCCTTACTATGACTATGGTAAAGGTTGTCACCATCCTTCATCAGGGATGGACACTACATAACCACTGGTCCTCACTATGACTATGGTAAAGGATGTCCCATTTTGAAATAGGTGAAACGGAACACGATTTCTTTGTTATATTTAAACTGTCATTAACACTTTAGTCATTTATTTAGATTATGCCATTTCGTAACACAAACGCATGATGTTTGTACACAGCTGGTTTATGTTGTGTTTGAGGGTCTTTTGTGTAGACAATTTTATATGAGGTAAAGACCACTGTGGTAAGCACTTGCTCCTTAGACTTCGCATATAGGGCAAATCAACATACAAGGATATCTCTCTTCGACAAAAAATGGGCATATCCTTAGGTTTGTTTGTTGGTTGTTTAACGCTGCACTCAGCAATATTCCAGCTATATGACGGTGGTCTTTAAGTGATCGAGTCTGGACCAGACAATCTAGTGATTGACATGAGAATCGATCCACGCAATTGGGATAACATAACATGCATGAACCAAGTCAGCGAGCCCGACCACCCGATCCCGTTAGGTTAGTCGCCTCTTACGACAAGCATGGGTTGCTGAAGACCTATTCTACCCAACAGCTGAATTTTTCCTTTGTTCAATTTTCGATCATTCAGGCCAAGTCTAAAACGAACAATGATGTTCTGAAAATTCCTGTTCTGTAGTTTTGAAAAATATGATTCTGGTTCAAACAGTGAACTTTCGTAAATCTCGGAAAGCCATTTCTGCTGAAACATATCAACGGCGCACGGTTGTGTTTAATTTAAATTCACATCACAGATTCTCTGGTACAGCCAAATTAAACCAAAGCCATATGTCAAAAGCAATGTAGGTTTACAAGAAACCAATGTGTTCCTACACTAACATTTCACCTGTGTCAACAATTATTCTTCTGGTATAGTAGTCCAATATTACCTGCTCCTACTACTACTATTTTGCCTTTCAAACTCAACCCCCCAAATGCAACTAAAACATAAGTAGGCCTAGTTGAGGCCCAGGATGCAAATTGTCAAATTTTATTTCAAGGCTGCATCTTCCCAAGGCAAGGGCGTTAACTGACTATGAAAGTCCAGTTTCCATCCTTGTCAAAACAGGCTGGAATTCCTGAGTTACATTTTGGCATCCGGTGCACAAATAACATGGATTTCAACATGCAGACTTTGGTCGCCTGCAGGATTTGCAATGCATGTGTACCGCCAACTGGGCACGGACAGATGTCTTGCAAATGAAGGGCTAAGACAGTAAAGACCTACACACATTGTTGGGACCTATTCTAACCGAGAATCCCCAAAGTCAAGAGACCAATAAATCAATATCATGGTAGTTGGCTGCATATAAATTGTGAACTCTTGCCAAGAGTCCATTTTTCTTCATCTATACTTCCACGACTACCCAGATGAACAAATGTAGTTTCATAACCTCTAATCAGGTTGATGAGTACATTTCTGCCCAGAAACTATCAAGTTAGAGGTCCAGCCTTTTTCCATGTATTTAAGGAAAAACAAAATATTTAAAGCAATATAAAGAATTTATCTGCAGCATGTACAATGAACAATTTGATCAAAAAAATATATCAAATAACAAAGTGAAATATTCACACAAAGACTTGGACAAAGACTGGAGTGCTGATATGAAACAGACCCATATACACAGTTGTTATCGTCCCACAGTTCCATTGACAAGTTCTTGTGGTGGTGGTCGGGTTGGAATTTTGCCCAGGACAAATGATGGAGCTGAAAACTGAGCCTTTTCTTCCTCAGTCAAGTCTGCTAATGGCGTATACAACTTGTTATTTGCTGGTGTTGGTGCAGGTGCTGGTGCAGATGCAGTTGCCTGCCCTTGACTACTAAAGAATCCACTAGGTGGTGCACTAGATTGTGTTGGTTGGGAGCCAAATGCCCCACTTGGAGGCTGTGTAGAACCAAAAGCAGATGCACCTGCAGTGGTTCCTGCAAAACTTGATGTCCCAGTTTGAGTGCCAAATCCACTTCCCCCAAATATGCCACCACCAGTACCAGCAGAACCACCACCAAAACCACTTGAGGTGGCTGTAGACCCACCACCAAAACCACTTGAGGTGGCTGTAGACCCACCACCAAAACCACTTGAGGTGGCTGTAGACCCACCACCAAAACCACTTGAGGTGGCTGTAGACCCACCACCAAAACCACTTGAGGTGGATGTAGCCCCACCACCAAAACCACTGCCAGCTGGGCTACTTGCAAATGGTCCACCTGAACTCCCAAATGCACCAGTGGTTGCACTGCTCCCAAACCCTCCCCCTGTTCTGCCTGCAGCAAAAGCTCCACCAGATCCAAACCCAGTCCCACCACTGCCACCAAAGCCACCAGTTTGCGCAGTCTGAGTGCTGCCAGCAAACCCCCCTGTCGACCCTGACCCCCCAAACGTCCCTGTAGAAGTAGTTCCTGCACCTGTTGCTCCACCAAACACAGACGATGAGGAACTGGAACTGGAACCAAATGCAGAAGTGGCAGGAGCTGACCCAAATATTGAGGATGAGCCACCACTACTCTGACCAAACATTCCACTGGACGAGGAGGGAGCTGTGGATTTCCCAAACAAATTTCCTGAGCCAGATGATGATGATCCACCACCAAATATACTAGAGGAGCCGCCTGCCTGCCCAAATGAACTGCCTGACTTCCCAGCTGAAGCGCCAAAGATGCCACCTGTCCCACTCCCAAACCCTCCACCTCCTCCTCCACCAAAGGCACTGTTGCCTGAAAACGAAGCATACTTGCTGTTATTTCTTTTTTTAATTTCATTTTTTCTTTTCTGGAATAAAAGGCTTGAGTGCCTCAAGCTTCCATGGCATCACAAAGAAAGGAACTGAGATTTCCTTATTACAACATCCTGTTTTCATCCAAAGCAAAATTCTACACCAATAACACTGGATATTTCGACATTTTATATTTGATAACTTAATCTAAAGATATGCTGACCCTGAATTTCACAAAAGTACAAAATCATGAGCCAGCGTCATTAAAACCAGTGATGTCAGTATTGTTTTTTTGCATGTAAATGAAAGCTCCTTCCCAGCGCGTGACACCTTCGTTACACTCTCGGTAACATCGCTGCGGCAATTACAAGAATCTTGAAATTTGCCCTCTAACCCCAAATGTAGTAGCGTTTATACTTTTGTTATGTCTTTGGGAATGCCATCATATTTCATTTTGAAAAGGTTTACGACTGACCATGTTTTCCAGATGAATTTACTTTGTTGTTTTAATAAACAGATTGATTCGAGATTGCAGACTAACGGAAAATCAACAAACTTCTCCCATACATTCTTACTATGTAAATAATACGATAGTTTTAATGAAACAGAAATTCAAATTGACAAACAAAGAAAGTAATTTAGCAGCGATGAATGTATTCGGCGTCACGACAGTCATCACTTTCATTCGGTTGCCAGTTCAACTCCAAGCATGGTTGTGGCAACCTATCACAGTGGGGTTTTATGACTGGTGGCAGCGATAGTATAGAGAGCTACGCGAACGGGCTATCGCTGTGAGGAGCTTGATGTAAATCCTGACAAGGGAGGTAACTCCAATGTGTTCCTCCAACCAAGTCTAGGTTACTGGGCCCTATATTCTTATACAGAAACCTAGCATAAATTGACGTAACTCTAGTTTCTACATTCAAATGCCTTCTTAAAGAGTTTTTAACTCAGATTTCTCAAACTGAATACTTATTCCGAGTTGTATCCATTCTTTATTTGAACTGGGTTTGAAAAAATTGTGTTAGATTAAATTGTTTTGACTTAATTGAAAACATTATTATGTGTCTTACTTTCAAAATTAATGTGTATCATCTCAACAATAGTTTGAAATCAGTGTTACTACTATTGCAGATTTTCTATTTGGCTATTCTATATATTACTCATGTCATCTAAAGATGAAGATGAAGAAATCCATGTAATGTAAACAATACAGAGAAACATCACTGAATTCAGGTGACGTAATGTTATCAATCTGTGACATCATTGCTCTCAACACCAATGCAACGTGATTGGTTGGTTTGTTGTTTAACGCTGCACTCAGCAATATTCCAGCTATATGACGGCGGTCTGTAAATAATCGAGTCTGGACCAGACAATCCAGTGATCGCTATCATGAGCATCGATCCACGCAATTGGGATCGATGACATGTATCAACCAAGTCAGCGAGCTTGGCCACCCTATCCCGTTAGTCGCCTTATACTACAAGCATAGTCGCCTTTTACGGCAAGCATGGGTTGCTGAAGACCTATTCTACCCCGGATCTTCACGGGTCTCCAATGCAACGTGACATCATATTGCTTCAATTGACCAATCAGCATTGAAAATTGCTCAAATACACATGCAAATATCAGAAAGTTATTGCATCGGACCCGTCTATCCTCATGGTTATGGTATGGTTATGTATTAATATATAATAATACTCACCCCCAAAAGATGATGCTTGCGCCCTGAAAACATGCAATGCAATTACGTTAATCTCATTAAACTGACTTCATACCTGTCTGCGTGAAAAGTCTTGCAATTATTTCAAATGGATGCACCATCAAGTTTACCAACATCATCATTATCATAGTGGGTGAGTGAGTGAGAGGTTTAACGCTGCTTTGACCAATATTCAAGTTAAGTCATGGCGTGTCAGCTTACTGTGGGAGGAAATCCCCAAGTGATGCAGGCATCAGACGTTTACCACTTTGGTGAAACCCACAAGAATGAGTTTGGTGCTCACCTAGAAACATAATCCGAGCAAACCAGGATGTGAACCCACAATCGGAGGTTTCTGGCATGCCCAAGGGATGATATGCCTACCCATGAATCAATTCATGTTTTGCATTCTGAATCGAGTTTCATAAAGTAAAATTTATTAAAGTTTGGTTATGATCTAGTCTGATATCTACTCGGGTTCTGGCCTAACACGAACCAAAATGCTAAATCTGCTTTGCACTAGATAGACCAATCATGTGAGATAAACACATAATGGACGAGAGACCGACCGTGCGTCAATTGGGCCCCATTGGACAAGACAAGGAGAGTTCGCCCCAAAATGGCAAAAATTGAGAGTCTCAACTCAACTATCGCAATATGCATCAGTATGTCGTGTAGGTGTATAATGATACAAATAGTATCAGGACTCACGTATCGCGATATGTATCAGTATGTCGTGTAGGCGTATCATGATACAAATAGTATCAGGACTCACGTATCGCGATATGCATCAGTATGTCGTGTAGGCGTATCATGATACAAATAGTATCAGGACTCACGTATCGCGATATGTATCAGTATGTCGTGTAGGCATATCATGATACAAATAGTATCAGGACTCAAGTATCGCGATATGCATCAGTATGTCGTGTAGGTGTATCATGATACAAATAGTATCAGGACTCACGTATCGCAATATGCATCAGTATGTCGTGTAGGTGTATCATGATACAAATAGTATCAGGACTCAAGTATCGCGATATGCATCAGTATGTTGTGTAGGTGTACCATGATAAAATAGTATCAGGACTCACGTATCGTGATATGCATCAGTATGTCGTGTAGGTGTATCATGATACAAATAGTATCAGGACTCAAGTATCGTGTTATGCATCAGTATGTCGTGTAGGTGTATCATGATACACCTGGTACATGATTTCTTGTGAGGTTTGGAACTTACCCTGGTGATTTCTTATTCCGGTGTTGTTCAATAAACTGCATCTGTAGGTAACAAGAAGACATTAATAATAATAATAATAATAATAATAATAATAATAATAATCCATTGATACTGCGTCAGATTCCATTCACCAAGTTAATGCTCATGGCACTACATAGTTTGCTGTAAAAGGCGACTATGCTTGTCATAACAGACGACAAATGGAATCAGTTGGTCAGGTTCACTGGCTTGGTTGATGCAGGTCATTGTATTCAATTTGCGTAGATCAATGCTCATGTCAATCACTTGATTGTCCAGTCCAGACTCCATTATATACATGCTTGGTTGCGTTGATAACTCCAGCACACGATGCCGTTTGTGCATGTTGACACAGTGAGACACCAAATTAGTCATATGATATGATGATTTACCATTTAAATTGTAATTCCTGTTCTGCTAGGCATTGCTTTATATGCAGAGATTAAGATTAGCGTTTGTCTTTTCTCGTCAGCTGTACACACAATATCTCCCAATCTACCAATGATTCGCTTAAAAATGACCCAATAATATAACTTGAAATATTATCTTGAACTTGAAAAAACCCACACAGAAAACATCTTAAGGTTCACTTAAGGTTCATAGAAACCCATGTAGCTATATTGCTAAAAGCGGCGTAAAACCATACTCAGTCAGCAGCCATGTAGCTATGCAAGTGAAGTGTGCATACCATTTCCCACAAAACATAACAGAAAAAAACAAAACAAGAAAACTGGAAACCAATATAGGCGAAAACTGAAAGAGAAATCGAAACTTTTCTTGTTTTCTTCTTAGAAAGTTGGTATTAGTAAATTCTGTTTGTTTGGTTAGAATTCCATGACAAACGTTCTATCCCTAATTCTTATCCTTTAGCTTGGTTGCCGTGTAATATTTGGGGTGCTCACCAGCTTCTGTTTGAGGGCTGGGTTGGCATTTTTGAGGTGATTCTTTTTGTTGTTGTAATCCACTGACAACAGGCGAACCTTTTCAACCTGAAACCAGACAATATAATATAACTAAAAATTACAAATTACATATGCATGAAATTTAACAAAAATAGTCTCTCAATATTCTCTAGCACACTTGATCATTATTTTCTCAAATTGAAAAAAATATAATAATCTTTGGTTGGCATTTAGGAGTTGGTAGAACATGAAAACCTTTATGGTGAACAAGTGCTTCACTGTTTAGAACGATGTTTTAGTCCACAATCTAAATTTCAGCAGCAGATATTAGAGCTCCACTGCTGGGATCTTCCATATAAAGTTTAAACAGGTCTTGTCAGGTTTTTGAAAGGAGATTTCCTAAAGCCTGTTTGCAGTAAAACTACAGGGGTCCCAATAGCAATATTCCAGCGATATCAGGGTGGAGGACACCAGAAATGGGCTCCACACATTGTACCCATGTCAGGAATCAAACCCGGGTCTTCAGCGTGACGAGCCAACACTTTAACCACTAGGCTACCCAACAGCTGGAAGAACATTGTCAAATATCAAACATGTGTAAAACAACTTCTAATATTCCACACACTGCACATCAGATTTCAGGCAGGATCACACAAGGAGAATTAGGCAAAAGTATGGTTGGGACGAGTCCAAATTTACTACCCAGGTAGCCACCCTCCTATTATCCGACCCTACCCGGGTACCCGCTGTAGGTCTCAATAGATGGGAATAGTTTGACCGTAGCCCTGGACAAAATGTATTTAGATACACGTAATAAAATGATCTGGTCATGCATACACTGAAGTTTTATCTTTATTCAAACATATAAAAGTCAATAGGAATGGGTGCATGGTCAGAAAGAAATGTGAACTTTAGTGTCTTATAGTGTAACCATATAATTTTTGATCATTTTGTCATTAAACAATATAACACATGACTAACCACAGGTCCGGGTAGTCCTGTGGGTACCCGGGTCCTTCTCAGTACCTACCCGACCCAAGTACCCGAGTTACCCGTCCCAGCCCTAGGCAAAAGCTATACTTTCTGACATTTCAGTATGCCTGCCATGCTGACCATATTTCAGATCAGAATATTCTCAGAGCAATTAGTATAACAATAGAGAATAACATGCCTGATTGATGTACAGGTAAGATTAACACAATGCAAATTTAACAAGGTTGATCCATCACCACTGATTGTATTGATTCGCCGCTGATTGCATACAGCCAATTGTCAGTGACACTTGACACTGAGTGAGATTTCTCAGTTCGCTATACACGTCACTAATAAGTGATAGATGGGCTTGTCGGTGATCAGATATCAATTCGCTGTATCCGTTAGTTCGCTGTAGAGAGTTCGTTATATACGTAAAGTTTATATGATATTATATAGGAGATAAATCTGGGATTTTTTTAACAGTTCGTTGTATCCGTTTGTTCGCTATATCCGTGTTCGTTATATCTGTGCTCTACTGTATTCTTTTCCACATAATAGAGACTGACTACTTAGCAATCAACCATCAACTCACATAGGGTTGGATGTTGCCTGCTTTGATGGCTGCATAGGCCTCGAATCTCAGCTCCTCCGGTGAGATGTCTTCAAAGTCTAGAGACACAAAGAAACAACATAATCAGGACAGATCAAAGGTTAGACAAAAACAAAATGAGTAACAAATCAGTATCTGCCTCGTTTGTCCAGCAGCAAGGCATCTGTAGAAATATTATAGTCTTTCATTCATTATCATGAGTGAGTGAGTGAGTATGGTTTACACCGCTTTTAGCAATATTCCAGCAATATCACGGCGGGGGACACCAGAATTGGGCATCACACATTGTACCCATGTCGGGAATCGAACCCGGGTCTTTGGCGTGACGAGCGAACGCTTTAACCACTAGGCTACCCGACCGCCCCCATTCATTATCATGAAAACCATAACTTGTTGACTGACTTGTTACTATGCTGCTGATATATGGACGAAACTTTCAGATTGGCTTGGAAACTATACTGGAGGCAGAGTTAATTTTAGTAATGAACACATACTGTTTGGATTTAAAGAGAAGAATAACAATTCACTCAATGCAGTAATTATGGTAACAAAATCTATGCTGTACACATTTAATAGAAGTCAAACCAATCTTTTTAGTAATTCAAAAAGAAATACTTCGATATTATGAAATTACAAACTGAATTGCATATTCAAATTGTAATTATGCAAGTTTCCATGCCTTCTGGTCTTATCTACATGTATTACTTAGAGACTCTGTATAACTATGATATATGATCTGTCCATGCTACAAACATGCCAATAATGTCACAATAAATCAATGCACACTCTATGTATGATATTGAAATGTAAAATATGATGGAAAATGGAATAAAAAAAATATTTTAAATATTTAATGCTGCTTTGAACATTCTATAGGTTTCTGGTGTTCTACAGGAATCTATAGCCTCTGAGATGACACTGAGTGAATATTGTTTTATGCTGCAGGCAGCAATACTGCGGCGACAAAGCAGACAAAATTCATGGATAACAACTTTTCAACTTTACTGTTATGGCGACGTTTCAGTTTAGATTCTTATACCAGTGTAATTAAAGATCTATACTGAAATGTCAGTTTTGCAATGGTATAAGGATCTATACCGAAACATTGCTATTAAAGTAAAATAAAGAAGTTGTTATCTATATATTTTGTATATAGAGTTATGATAATCGTGGTGCTACGAAGGCTGTAGAGCAGGTCTGATCAAGTAAACTCTATGATACATGGGTCTTACATGATACTGAAACCATGGTTACCTGGGAGGCAGGGGAGATCCTTCTCAATGGAGATACAAGAGAACGGCCATTGTTTGGACTGCAACCATACTTCAATCTCAGTCTGGAGAGCAGTGCTGGTAGTACAAAATGAAAACAGATATTGCCCTGAATATATTTGGAAGGCAGAAACATGCAGCAAGTTTCAAACATCAATCTGGAATCTACAAAAAGAATGGTTTGTCTTTGCAAGACTGTCAAACTATGATTATCTGTATAACACCTTAATTCATTCATTAATTTCAACCTGGCACAAACTTGTTTAGTGACTAGTCATCATGATTTCAGTGTCACGTATTACGAATCAATATGTACACTGCATAATCTGTATGATGTGGAGACAAGGATGAAACTTTACTTGTCTGAATAGTGGTGACACATGAAAAGCCCATGAAAAGTAAAAAAATTCTACTAGCCCTCAGGATATCTATAACATTAAAATGATAAGAAAAATCTGACTGAAGCAAGCAGAACTTGTGTTATTTGCATCCCAGCTAGAGACTCAATGAATCTGCTCTTTATAGCTAATGTTTCTCTGAAGATTTACCTGCAGTTTAACATCTCATCTACATGATCTATGTCCAATCTTAGGATTTGTTATCCCCAGAATTCAGATAAAGGAAATATTTAATATACATACATAACTTCAGCACTAGCAACATTTCCTGTTTGTTGTTTGTTGTCTTGGGCTGTCCACTTGTACTGGCTTGTGTTCTGACTCGAGCCGAAACTGTCTCGGAAGGTGACACGACTTCCTCCTCCTCCTCCTCCTCCCCCTCCACCACCCCCACCGAACAGCTGTCGTTGTACTCCTTGATTCTGTCCCCCTGTGAATGATGTACATTGTATAAGTTCATCAACATAAATTTTTTATAATACCGGAGCAGTAGAGTAGCCTATTAGTCAAAGTGTTTGCTCGTCAGGCCAAAGGCACATGAGTACAATGTGTGAAGCACATTTGTGGTTTTCCCGCCAAGACATAGCGGAAATATTGAAAAAAGCGACATAAAAACTAACTCACTCACACGAACCACACAATAAATTCCAACAGTCACCATCATGATCATGGGAAAGTTCTAAAGGTGGTCCACATGTTTGAACAGTATTTCAATTCTCACACAACATGTACAAACAAACATGGTAAAGACAAACAGAAATATATTCAGCACCATAGACAGATTGGTATGTAAGTAAGCTATCGGACACTCGGCTTTCATCAACACACTCTGTTGGTTTCATATTACATTAGGCCTTTTCGAGATCCTTTTAAACGGTTGCCCTTTCATTGTTGAAATGGTTCAACTATTATATAATTATGTGTTATAAATAGGCAAACAAATCTCAAACTGTCATGTTTTTAACAGCATATTGATTTATGACGTCAGCAAATGATGTCATACAGCCTGATGATTGCAACCGTAGAGCAAAGGTTGACACACGGACTTCACATCAGTTGCTTTGTAAAACAGGCGTAACTTCAGACTAGGATTACCTTCATTCTAACCTAAGCAGTTAAGGTTAACATTAGCCGAGGTTGTTTTGTGTCACGGGGCCTTTACTGCCTACAGACACCTCTCGTGCAATCATTCCAACAATAGCTCATATGATATATATTCCTATTCTAACGGGCCTGTAGTAGGGTGCACGTTTCTTAGAACAGATAATGACTAAGATTCTAAGTTAGATTCAATATCAACATTGGCGTATTTTGTAAATACGTCCCCAAAATATTTACATTAGTTTAAATGCAGATCGAACATGTCTAACGAGCTGGTGTTTATTGACGCTGACTGCTGTGACATGCTAAGCAACTCGTTTTCAGATCATAACACTGATCGAAAACCGAACAAAGTATAGAAAACCAACCTCTTGGATGTTCAAATCGACATCTTTCGCCGTATTTACACCGCCCTTCCAAAAAGAATCTGCAGACAGACATTTTACTGTAGTTAGGGAAACCTCAGGATTCTCTGATGTCAAATATACTAGATAGACATGTGCATGTCTTAGAAACACTTTCAGTTTCACATCAATTAGTCCTTTTAGAGTTATCTGCCCTTGAATCGGGGGAGCACTGCGAAGGCTGAACCAAGAACATTTTCCTTCTGCTTGTAATGTCTTTTGATTTTCTTGCAATGACTTGGAAAAACGTAAAATTCTTCGATAGTTTTTTGTTTATCTGTAAGTGGTGAATTTATCTGAAGGATCACTTCATGAATTCCCAAAAGTCAAAAAATGCAATTTTCCTATTGTAATTTGAAGAGTTTGTATTAGCAGATGTGGCCCCTGTGATCCTCTACTTCCAATGTTATCCCGGATAAAATAAAATTGAAAAGGGACGTGAAAACATACACGAACTAGTGAAGTATGTTATTCAATCTAATTAATTATACAAAATATTGATATCTTTTTGAAGAAGCTTGAATGGTTTACTCATACGCAGTATGTTAGAATAATATATCCACACGACAAGTGACATTTTCTTATTTGTTGGATCATAGATCCGCCGACCCCATCTAAACACAAACTGAATTCTTTCTTTTTTCTTCAACATAACACTTCCATTTTTTTTCCACCAACAAACAAATATTTTATATGATTTACACTAGTTATAGTCATCGTTTTTAGAAAATCGAGAAAATGGCGCGCAATTTTACATTCATATCTAACCAATCGATTAGTAGTCGTAGCCGATTTAGTGAGTGAGTGAGTGAGTACGTCTTTACGTCGCTTTTATCAGTATTCCAGCAATATCATGGCGGTGGACACCAGAAATTGGATTCACACATTGTATCCATGTGGGGGAATCGATCCGGGGCCTTCAGCGTAGCGAGTGAACGCTTATACCACTAGGCTATGCTATCGCCTCCGATTTCTTGCATAATAAATCTACGCTTATACTTTTCCCTCCATCTGACTTTGTCCGAACAAATCTGTGAACCAGCAAATAAACAAATAATGGCCCTTGAACATCTATAGTGTGTTCAGTTACCTGAAGTGATACAATTTGGTTCATCATTTTCACACATTCCATACGATAGCAGTAGAAGTAGACTCATCACGAAAGATGTATAGTCACATCTGTTCTGAACACATAAGGATACATCTGAAAACTCATCGTCAACTACAGAAGCTAACCTTCTTTATCTGAAACACACACACACTCTCTCTCTCTCTCTCTCTCTTTACATGAACTCTCACAGTTGTGAGACACACATGACATCATTCGTCATGACACAGTGGATGACATCACATGATAATAAGACTCATCAGGTCAGCAGAATGTGAAAAAGAAACAACTGAATCGAAGTTGTTTTCATATATATTGATCAAATGACTATTTCAAATTTGGAATTGATAAAAGAAAAAGAGATACTTGTAAAGGAATGTATCCATGCTCAGTGAATAGTCCAGATTTCCAGGCTTAAATCACATTTGATCACATTTTCAACCAATCAGATTGCACCACACACTCGCATTTGTTTTACACTTTATAACGAAGTACCTGTTCACCAGTGTAATGATAGAACCTTGAAACCATGGAGTGAGTGAGTTGGGTTTAAAGCCACCTTTCGACAGTATTTCAGTTATATAACGTCAGTTTAAGAAGGAAAGCCTGAAGTGACGCAGCTCTGAGACATTTACCACTTTGGTGAAACCAAGGTGCACGGTTATACTGCTGACAAACCAGGAAACAAAATCGGATCGAACTGTGATTCAAACTCACAATCATAGGTTTCTGGCCTGCCCAAGGGACGCAAAACTTTGCAAGCGATGGGCGCCTAAGACGACTGGGCCACAGATGCCCCTGTAATCCATGGAATTCAACATGGATTCTGGAGGTATTGTATCACCACAATCTCGCTTTCACCACAAAGTCAGCATTTGGAGACGATTATGTTGGAGTTCGAAGACCTGCCTAAAAATATATTTTTGACAGAGTTATGGCCCTTGTGTGATCTGCTGGACGTGGTGCACAGGACCCTCAGTGGGTCAAGTGATAATAATGTGATTGGACCTACAACAAAACCTTGTCAACTTGATCTAATGAGTGAGTGAATGAGTTGGGTTTAATGCTGCTTTTAACAATATTCCAGTTATACCACAGCTTGTCAGTTTAATGTGGGAGCAAAGCCTGAAGTGATGCAGGTCCCACGAGCACGGGTATGATGCTGACAAACCTAGAAACATAATCGGGGCGAACCAGATCCGAACCCACAATCATAGGTTTCTGGTTTGCCCAAGGGATGCAACTCTGCAAAGCATATCGCGGCACCTTAGATGACAGGGCCACCCGTGCCCCCATTGATCTAATGAACCAAATCAGACTGTAAAAAGTATATCGAAGGTGTTTAAAACCCTTGATTAGACGTAGATCACATGCTTCAGTGCCACCCTTTCCTTCTGTGCAGCTATCTCAGTGAGCCTGACACCATCTAACAATGAGGGTATGGCCAGGCTAAATGATGTGATGCTCTGTGTGCCCAAGAATGTGAAGCTCTTGCTGAGGTCATAACAAGAGGTCACTCGTTCTTCACACGTGGACCCAAGTAACTTTGATCTCAACAGAAGCATTGATGATGTCCATCTCAAATCAAATCTTAGTTCTCGCTAACGCTAAAATTAGCGGTAGGGAGAACTAAGATCTGATTTTAATGAATTTGTGATGATGTTTATGTTACACTGAAAACTACATGATTCATGTGAGCCTAGATGCAGAGACAGAAACTAGCATTAGCCCAAACTCATTACAATCACATCTTTACTCTGGTACAATACCTCTGTGTGTGAATACTTGAGGACACCTCCACAAAAATGACAAGTTTCTGAGTGTCATGGGATCTACTCCCAAAAGGAAGTACAATTGAAGGAATATTTGTTGTGTGTTTTCATCTGTACAAACCAAAATTTCCTAATCAAGGCGGTAGAGAAATAAAGCCAAATCATTTTAAAAAGATGACATCTGATTGGTTCAAAATCCCAAGCTCCTTCATTTAGACTGGGCAGTCAAAGTCCATTCAAGCTTCACCGGACACAACCAATGGAGATGTCCTCCTATCTTCACATCAAGAGTAAAACGTCTGATCTCAATGAGATTGGCACCAGCCCGCCATAGTCTGAATCAGTTTGTGTTACTGATGAAAGTATCCCAAGGGCAAGTTGACATTCCGTGTTTTAAGGGTTTCCTTACTATTCAGTATTCACTATAAAGGCTAATTTCTACCACTGAGTTGAAATAATGACATTATGCTATACTGGAATCAAACATAAAGCAAAACATACATTTTGTGAATAAGTCAAGAAAAGATTTATCTGATGATATAAGAACACCGGACTTTTTCATGTGATAGTTAACCTGTCATGGCTGGTGGGTATTGCAACATGCAGCCTTCCAGTTGCGAGTGTTGCTCAACTTGTTTTGAGTAGTATATACAACAAAGACTTATATGGCTGATAAACACAACAAGATTTGGTTAGAATAGTGATTTATTGTTATCAGGAAATAGCTGTACACAGTATTCTACTCAGTTCACACATGAACAAATGCACAAAACATGATAAACTAAAACGAGCACATCTGTCACCAGTTGATGCGGGTTGGTCACAGGGTTTAAGAATGTCTTTCTAATAATGAACCCTGTAACCTGTAATTACCCATCATGTGAAGTAATTAGAGAATAACCAATGAGTTACGAGGAATTTTGGATTATTCTGTTCAGAGTGAAAGAATGGTGTAAGCCCCAAGCCTTTGCAAGGGACTTCTAGCCCCAAGCCTTTGCAAGGGACTTCTAGCATTAATCCACAAATGACTTGCAGTATTCATTCACAAGGGAATTATCAGAAAGTTGTTAAAAAACTTTCCAGGTTCTGGCACATAGTATGCAGTGATCGGGATAAATCCCCAAATTATCACAAATATATACATGGAAGAGCAAGACAGAAACACATTCAAGTTAGTGCTTAACATCTGGTAGCAGTGACCACAAATATCCCAACAAACAAATGTAACAAATCTCAATAAATGTATATTTACAAGATTGAATTGCCTTTTCAGATATTCCAAATTTCTTACCTTTAAGAAAGAAAAAAAACCCTAAAAGATTCAAGAATATAAATCCTATGAGTCATGGTAGGTTTATGTATGTCCCATGACCAGTATTCAAACAGTAGACAATTTTTCTCAAAGCGAACACTGCATCACAGACAGATCGAACACTGCATCACAGATAGAATCATTCAATCATGTCGGCCCCATCTTCCCCAGTTGCATCCTCAGCGATGTGGAGATCCTCGAGCATCTCCTGCAGCGAGATCTGTGGCACGCCCTCATCATCCGTGTCGTCTGTGTCAACAGCAAGCTTGTTCCGATCTGAAGCAGGCACACAACATTCAAGTGGACACTATGTAGCAATTGAGATGCCATCTTTCTCGGTATTATCACATGGGAGCCATCAGATGTGTACAACTGACAATATGGTATAACTTGTCCATGAGATTATCCGGTGGTGGCGTTATGGTGACTAATGTTTATATCTTTTACATCTTGATGTCTTCCCTTCACCTCTCACTCAATACTTACAGTCTGTGTGCCTACCAGTGAGTTAGAGTGTCTGCGGGTATGTTTTTGCATTCACCACACAACTCAAACCGCCATGAATCTGGAATGCTTTACATCATATTCTAAATCAATCTATAGGCCGATACGAGACAGTGCAAATGAGAGTCACAGACTAAACATGAAATACTCTTAACACAGACCAGCAGATATCCTTAACTTCAAATGTGACAATGGCTTGAATTTTATGTTCTCCATTAATTCAGTCATTTACCATTTTTTATAAACATGAGAAAGAGAGGTGACCAAATGGCAGAGGGAAAGAGAGGTGATAAACACTGCCACAGAGAACGGTTAGGGCCAGACAATGGACAATGTTAGTCCAAGCTGTATGGGGAGACTCACCCAGGTAAATGTTGACATTTTGTCTGACAGAAGGATCGTCCTCCAGATCTTCCAGGAACTCATTGTAGTCCCTGCAGAGAGAACATGGTGTTGTAACATTGTAGCCACCCCATGTAGCAGGCTGTACCATGAACACGGCTAGTACAACATATCTCATTACAAAGTCAAAACTAAAGGAAGAGACACTGATATAGAGAAATACAGACATCCATCAAGAAAATAAATAGGTCATTTAGTTAGAGTGTTTTACTTTTATCTTTGGCAAGTAACGCATGGACAACAGGACTACTGCATCACAGACATCTCTTCAACACACTACAGAAGCTACAGATTTACATCCAATCTGCCCCCAGATCTCTGCTACCTTTCCATGCTTGCAGTCTCAATGGCAGCATCGTCATTCAGGTGCTTCAGTTTCCACTTCCTCTTCCGGATTCTCTTGGAAGTGTCAAACACTTTCTTCACCACAATCTGAAAACACCACACAACGTGATAGCTCCAGGACACAACACATGTTGGATGACACTGGCTCTCTGGTACTGACACAGATAAAGCAGACAAGTCAACTTGTTTAACACATTGGTGGGCCTCGTCAAGTGAAGGATGCTCAGATTTGTTTTGTTTGTTGCTTTATGCCAAGTCAGCACTATTTGAGTGATATGTTGAGGCATGTTAACATTCAAGTGATTGATATTATTGATTGGTGTACAATGATATGAAATGAACCAAGTCACCAAGTCTGACCACAGCATCCATCAAGTTCCTTTATATCACAAGGGGTCAAGCATATGCTCAAGCACTGTCCACCCACACATAGGCTCTTTATCTGAAGCTTGTGCAAATAAAAACTTTGTGCATGCAGTTGCTATTGACCTTTTAATGTTCCTAACAATTACCACAGAATGTTCATAGTCTACACATTTTATTAGAAGTAAAAGTTAACAATCGAAAAGGATGAAAAGATTGAAAACAAACATGTTGCCAGAATAATTTATATATGTTTTTCATACCAGTTTCCCCGAGTCTTATGTCTTGAGACCACTGCCCTGCCCCCAGTTTCCCCTGGTTTGAGACCACTGCCCTGCCCCAAGTTTCCCCCTGGCTTGAGAGACCACTGTCCTGTCCCAAGTTTCCCCCTGGCTTGAGACCACTGTCATGCCCCCAGTATCCCCCTGGCTTGAGACCACTGCCCTGTCCCCAGTTTCCCCTGGTTTGAGACCACTGCCCCGCCCACAGTTTCCCCCTGGCTTGAGACCACTGTCCTGCCCCAAGTTTCCCCCTGGCTTGAGACCACTGCCCTGTCCCCAGTTTGCCCTGGCTTGAGACCTCTGCCCTGCCCACAGTTTCCCCCTGGCTTGAGACCACTGCCCTGCCCACAGTTTCCCCCTGGCTTGAGACCACTGCCCTGCCCCCAGTTTGCCCTGGCTTGAGACCACTGTCCTGCCCCAAGTTTCCCCCTGGCTAATGACCTCTCCCCTGCCCACAGTTTCCCCCTGGCTTGAGACCACTGTCCTGCACAACAGTTTCCCCCTGGCTTGAGACCACTGTCCTGCCCCCAGTTTGCCCTGGCTTGAGACCACTGTCCTGCCCACAGTTTGCCCTGGCTTGAGACCACTGTCCTGCCCACACTTTCCCCCTGGCTCGAGACCATTGCCCTGCCCCCAGTATCCCCCTGGCTTGAGACCACTGCCCTGTCCCCAGTTTACCCTGGTTTGAGACCACTGCCCTGCCCCCAGTATCCCCCTGGCTTGAGACCACTGCCCTGTCCCCAGTATCCCCTGTCTTGAGACCACTGTCCTGCCCCCAGTATCCCCCTGGCTTGAGACCACTGCCCTGTCCCCAGTTTCCCCTGGCTTGAGACAACTTTCCTGCCCACAGTTTCCCCTGGCTTGAGACCACTGTCCTTCCCACAGTTTCCCCCTGTCTTGAGACCACTGTCCTGCACAACAGTTTCCCCCTGGCTTGAGACCACTGCCCTGCCCCCAGTTTCCCCTGGCTTGAGACCACTCTCCTGCCCACAGTTTCCCCTGGCTTGAGACCACTGTCCTTCCCACAGTTTCCCCCTGTCTTGAGACCACTGTCCTGCACAACAGTTTCCCCTGGCTTGAGACCACTGTCCTGCACAACAGTTTCCCCCTGGCTTGAGACCACTACCCTGCCCACAGTTTCCCCCTGTCTTGAGACCACTGCCTGCCCCCAGTTTCCCCCTGTCTTGAGACCACTGTCCTGCCCCTTGTTTCCCCTGGCTTGAGACCACTACCCTGCCCACAGTTTTCCCCTGGCTTGAGACCACTGTCCTTCCCACAGTTTCCCCCTGGCTTGAGACCACTGCCCTGTCCCCAGTTTCCCCTGGCTTGAGACAACTTTCCTGCCCACAGTTTCCCCTGGCTTGAGACCACTGTCCTTCCCACAGTTTCCCCCTGTCTTGAGACCACTGTCCTGCACAACAGTTTCCCCCTGGCTTGAGACCACTGCCCTGTCCCCAGTTTCCCCTGGCTTGAGACCACTCTCCTGCCCACAGTTTCCCCTGGCTTGAGACCACTGTCCTTCCCACAGTTTCCCCCTGGCTTGAGACCACTACCCTGCCCACAGTTTCCCCCTGTCTTGAGACCACTGCCCTGCCCCCAGTTTCCCCTGGCTTGAGACCACTGTCCTGCACAACAGTTTCCCCTGGCTTGAGACCACTGTCCTGCACAACAGTTTCCCCCTGGCTTGAGACCACTACCCTGCCCACAGTTTCCCCCTGTCTTGAGACCACTGCCCTGCCCCCAGTTTCCCCTGGCTTGAGACCACTGTCCTGCCCCTTGTTTCCCCTGGCTTGAGACCACTACCCTGCCCACAGTTTTCCCCTGGCTTGAGACCACTGTCCTTCCCACAGTTTCCCCCTGGCTTGAGACCACTGTCCTGCCCCTTGTTTCCCCTGGCTTGAGACCACTGTCCTGCACAACAGTTTCCCCCTGGCTTGAGACCACTACCCTGCCCACAGTTTCCCCCTGTCTTGAGACCACTGTCCTGCCCCCAGTTTCCCCCTGTCTTGAGACCACTGTCCTGCCCCTTGTTTCCCCTGGCTTGAGACCACTACCCTGCTCACAGTTTCCCCCTGTCTTGAGACCACTGTCCTGCCCACAGTTTCCCCTGGCTTGAGACCACTGTCCTGCACAACAGTTTCCCCCTGGCTTGAGACCACTGTCCTGCCCCTTGTTTCCCCTGGCTTGAGACCACTGTCCTGCCCACAGTTTCCCCTGGCTCGAGACCATTGCCCTGCCCCCAGTATCCCCCTGGCTTGAGACCACTGCCCTGTCCCCAGTTTACCCTGGTTTGAGACCACTGCCCTGCCCCCAGTATCCCCCTGGCTTGAGACCACTGCCCTGTCCCCAGTATCCCCTGTCTTGAGACCACTGTCCTGCCCCCAGTATCCCCCTGGCTTGAGACCACTACCCTGTCCCCAGTTTCCCCCTGGCTTGAGACCACTTTCCTGCCCACAGTTCCCCCTGGCTTGAGACCACTGTCCTTCCCACAGTTTCCCCCTGTCTTGAGACCACTGTCCTGCACAACAGTTTCCCCCTGGCTTGAGACCACTGCCCTGTCCCCAGTTTCCCCTGGCTTGAGACCACTCTCCTGCCCACAGTTTCCCCTGGCTTGAGACCACTGTCCTTCCCACAGTTTCCCCCTGTCTTGAGACCACTGTCCTGACCCTTGTTTCCCCTGGTTTGAGACCACTACCCTGCACAACAGTTTCCCCCTGGCTTGAGACCACTGCCCAACCCACAGTTTCCCCCTGGCTTGAGACCACTGCCCCGCCCACAGTTTCCCCCTCGCTGGAGACCACTGTCCTGCCCCAAGTTTGCCCTGGCTTGAGACCACTGCCCCGCCCACAGTTTCCCCCTGGCTTGAGACCACTGCCCTGCCCACAGTTTCCCCTGGCTTGGGACCACTGCCCTGCCCACCTACCACATCAGGGACTTTCTCCGAACTGATCTGATCAAACTCCTTGTGGTTCAGATTGGCATTTGTAAAGTCGAACCTGGGAAGAAAACCTTCAATCAACATAATGCTTCACAGAATACACATCTACCGCACATGCATACAATGAACCAAACTCAAACTTAAACAACTGATGATATATTACCAACGACTAAAATTAAAGAATTTTAGGCTGAGCTTACTCTAATAACTACTTACACAAGCATAACAAGAAAGTAAAACGAGACAAAATTATCCATAACGACAATGGTATTGTTGCAATTATGTTTACTAATTCTCAGAAAGCATTATAGTTTTGGCTTCATGCCGACTATCAAGCTTATTCAAGTTGTTTCACTGTTGACGAAATGGCCCATTGCAAAGTGATGTCATATCAAAGTGATTTCGCAAAGAATTATAGATGATTCCAGTCTTTGTTCATGACAAAGAGACAGTTTATGTGACCTTGTTCCAACAACAAACACATGAGCTGGTGTTTCCACTTGTGGATGGGAAACACATTTTATCTACAATTCTCAGAAAAAAGAGGAGGAATGATAGATTATCTAAGTATTTTCTTGTATGATAGTTAACAAGTGAAGGTGAAGTGAAATGGGGTTTAATGTCCTGTTAAAGATAAATGCACTTATATAGTGACTAACATGTATGGCTGCTTGTATAAGTCTGGACTCGTGCTACTCAGACACAGTATACTGACTCCAAACCGCCCTCCTTAATGCTTAGGTGAGATACCAACAAGTACAATCTTTAAACATTTTGGAATGAGCTGGAATGAGGTCATCAAACCACTGACCTTCCACTCTCAGGACAGACACTCCATCAACAAGAACATGGAGACTGTCTAATAGTTATCAGTATGAGTGAGTGAGTGAGTGAGTTGGGTTTAACGCCGCTTTTAACAGTATTCCAGTTATATCGCGGCGTGTCAGCTTAATGTGGGAGGAAAGCCCGAAGTGATGCAGGTCCCAGACGTTTACGACTTCGGTGAAACCCACGAGCACGGGTATGGTGCTGACAAACCTAGAAACATAATCGGGGCGAACCGGGATTCGAACCCACAATCATAGGTTTCTGGCATGCCCAAGGGACGCAACTCTGCACAACGAATTGCGGCGCCTTAGACGACTGGGCCACCCGTGCCCCAGTTATCATTATGACAAACAGGAAGCAAATTGTATTATGACAGGGAACTTACCCCATGACAGTGTCCCCTACTTTCAGAAGGTGACCAAGATGGGTGCGGCAGTGGTACTGCTGGTCATTGACCCCGAGGTCGCTCATCCTGGCTACCCAGAGATCAGCCAGTACATGCTACAAACATAAATACAATCAATAAACAACAAATCTCATAAATAATAATAACAATAAACAACAAACTCATAAATAATAACAATAAACAACAAATCTCATAAATAATAACAATAAACAACAAATCTTTTCAAGACATCCGCCATATCCATCAAACAAGCTACTTTTCCAGTATTTTCTGGAACAAATATTTTAAAAAACCACCATATTGACAAGTAATATCAACCAGATGGTCCCATAATGTAAACATACAGTCCACTAGCACAATGGGACGAGAGTTTTTGCTTAGTTAAGTTTACGATATGAAACATTGAGAAATCATGTACAGGCAAGTTGATTTTTCGTTTGGAAAACTTACAGGGCCATCAACCCTCCACCCCTCAACTTATGGAAGACAGATCATCCAACATCAAACTTCTGAACTGGTCCCTAATACTGATTAGTCAACAACAATCAATACCTTTGGGACACAATGACACACAATCAGCCTTAGCGTAGGACCCTTTGGTCCTATCCTGCCCCTCACAGGGTGGTGGACTCCTACCTTGGTAGAGGCTGGGACTGTGGTCCTATCCCACCCCAGATACACACAGGGAGGTGGACTCCTACCTTGGTAGAGGCTGGGACTGTGGTCCTGTCATGCCCCAGATACACACAGGGTGGTGGACTCCTACCTTGGTAGAGGCTGGGACTGTGGTCCTATCCCACCCCAGATACACACAGGGAGGTGGACTCCTACCTTGGTAGAGGCTGGGACTGTGGTCCTATCCCACCCCAGATACACACAGGGAGGTGGACTCCCACCTTGGTAGAGGCTGGGACTGTGGTCCTATCCCACCCCAGATACACACAGGGAGGTGGACTCCCACCCTGGTAGAGGCTGGGACTGTGGTCCTATCCCACCCCAGATACACACAGGGAGGTGGACTCCCACCTTGGTAGAGGCTGGGACTGTGGTCCTGTCATGCCCCAGATACACACAGGGTGGTGGACTCCTACCTTGATAGAGGCTGGGACTGTGGTCCTGTCCCACCCCATATACACACAGGGAGGTGGACTCCTACCTTGGTAGAGGCTGGGACTGTGGTCCTATCCCACCCCAGATACACACAGGGAGGTGGACTCCCACCTTGGTAGAGGCTGGGACTGTGGTCCTATCCCACCCCAGATACACACAGGGAGGTGGACTCCTACCTTGGTAGAGGCTGGGACTGTGGTCCTGTCCCACCCCAGATACACACAGGGAGGTGGACTCCCACCTTGGTAGAGGCTGGGACTGTGGTCCTATCCCACCCCAGATACACACAGGGAGGTGGACTCCTACCTTGGTAGAGGCTGGGACTGTGGTCCTGTCATGCCCCAGATACACACAGGGTGGTGGACTCCTACCTTGATAGAGGCTGGGACTGTGGTCCTGTCCCACCCCATATACACACAGGGAGGTGGACTCCTACCTTGGTAGAGGCTGGGACTGTGGTCCTATCCCACCCCAGATACACACAGGGAGGTGGACTCCCACCTTGGTAGAGGCTGGGACTGTGGTCCTATCCCACCCCAGATACACACAGGGAGGTGGACTCCTACCTTGGTAGAGGCTGGGACTGTGGTCCTGTCCCACCCCAGATACACACAGGGAGGTGGACTCCCACCTTGGTAGAGGCTGGGACTGTGGTCCTATCCCACCCCAGATACACACAGGGAGGTGGACTCCTACCTTGGTAGAGGCTGGGACTGTGGTCCTGTCATGCACCAGATACACACAGGGTGGTGGACTCCTACCTTGATAGAGGCTGGGACTGTGGTCCTGTCCCACCCCATATACACACAGGGAGGTGGACTCCTACCTTGGTAGAGGCTGGGACTGTGGTCCTATCCTACCCCAGATACACACAGGGAGGTGGACTCCCACCTTGGTAGAGGCTGGGACTGTGGTCCTATCCCACCCCAGATACACACAGGGAGATGGACTCCTACCTTGGTAGAGGCTGGGACTGTGGTCCTGTCCCACCCCAGATACACACAGGGAGGTGGACTCCCACCTTGGTAGAGGCTGGGACTGTGGTCCTATCCCACCCCAGATACACACAGGGAGGTGGACTCCCACCTTGGTAGAGGCTGGGACTGTGGTCCTATCCCACCCCAGATACACACAGGGAGGTGGACTCCTACCTTGGTAGAGGCTGGGACTGTGGTCCTATCCCACCCCAGATACACACAGGGAGGTGGACTCCCACCTTGGTAGAGGCTGGGACTGTGGTCCTATCCCACTCCAGATACACACAGGGAGGTGGACTCCTACCTTGGTAGAGGCTGGGACTGTGGTCCTATCCCACCCCAGATACACACAGGGAGGTGGACTCCTACCTTGGTAGAGGCTGGGACTCTGTGGGGCCGGTCCTTGTCAGCAATGTAGTCCACTTGCATCACCATGTACTCAATAAGCTGTTTGGGGCCACAGAGAATCCGGAAAGGCGTCCTCCAGAACACTGTGCCACTCAATTCAGCCACTGAGGACAAAAAATAAAAATAAAATGAAAGTCTTGATAAAAGTCATCACTGTTCATATCATTAGGTGGGAGAAGGTGAAATGGGGTTTAACATCGCGTCCAAGATTATTGCACTTATATAGCGATGTGCATGCACGTGTGTGTGTGTGTGTGTGGCTGCTTGTTCTTGTCCAGACTAATGCTGATTTTATAGTGCTAGCCCACTGATTTACCATGCCGCAGTTTAACATGAATATCCCATTTAGACACAGTATACTAACTCTGAGCTGACAAGTCCTTGTTTTAACCCCTTAATGCCGAGCGCCAGGCAGGGTAACAACAAGTACCATCTTATAACTTCTTTGGTAAGACGTTGACAGGAATTGAACACCGAACCTTCCGCTCTCCAGGCGGACGCTCTACCACTGGACTACAGAGGCAGTTGTTCATATCATAAAATAAATCCCGGTAGTTCATAAACTGAAAACCAGTAGACTCCAACCATTCCATAAACTTATGTAATAACATGAATCACGTCTTCCATCTATCGATTAATTTGCTGTCTAAAACATGTATTTGGATGTGTATCTTCACTCAGCATTCTAAGTAATTATGTAGTCATAGCTTCATGGCCCATCTACCTATATTGACATCATTATGCCAGGTTGAAGTGTGTTGAATTGAAGTGGGTCAGAGAGTTCTTTTCAATGCAAAAACACAAGGAGTGCGCTTAATAAGAGACAATAAGAGACATGTTGTCACTGTGCAAATATCTGTTGACGCCCAGTTGGCAGTCGGCCGAAATTTGCACTTTGAAATCCATCTTGTTTGCGAACTGGATGTCTAGTTCATCACATGATTTTAACTGGTCAATGCATAGATCTTTAGTCCAGCCAAAATGTAACTCCGCAATTCCAGCCTATTTCAGCAAGGGTTGAAACGGGACTTTTATAGTCAGTTAACACCCTTGCCTCAAGAAGATTGTAACAAACCAGCAATTTCCCAGCAGGGGACACTAGAAATGGGCTTCACATTATGAACACACAGGATAATCAAACACGGGACATCAGCGTGAAAAGTGAACACTTCAACCACTAGCTACCCAAAACCACCTTAGCTCAAATGAGCCCCATCATAAATGTGTTTTAGTATTGGCTCAATCAACATGATCATGACAAACTTTAGCTCAAGCTTTCAGCCCAATTGGTATTGTGAAAAAGCACGACTCCACCTACCCTGCAGAGTATTGGGGTCTATCAGGTGAATGGTCTGTGTCACCTTGTTGCAGATACACAGGGGGTTGATGTTGCCCAGTGACTGGGCCACCTTCTTGGGGAGACACACTATGTTGTCCTGGCAACAGAAGAAAAATAGGTCAGGTGAGGTGAACTTCCTCATCAACCAATCAGCACTGAGGCCTCGAACTTCACAATCAGAACAAGTGATGCAGTCCGAGCAGCATATCTGATTTCTGTAGCTAGACACGAACTCATAAAATATAATGCCGGTAATAAATGACACGCTATCATAATGTTGTGGATATCTCATATCGCCGGATCATAGGTTTATTGCGATCATTTGCGCAGGGTGTGGCATCACACAGAAAATGTAAATACTCAGATGATGGCCTGTTTTTGAGATAAAGTTGTCTTTTATAAGTGAGTGAGATGTTTTACAATTGTTCTTTTGATGAGCAAGAATACTATGAATGTTTCTTAAATGTCCGAAAACCCATAACACAGTACATCATTTCTAAGTTAAAACTAAAGGGGCATAACTTCTTTCAGTGGCATTTAGAAGTTGGTGTGATGAAGAAAGACAAGTTCTATGGATGAACAACTTCTTCATTACAATTAGTGCGACGTTTGGGTGTAGATCCTAACACCTTTATCAAGCAAGTGATAAGTAAGTGATCTACACCGAAACGTCGCACTTGTCTTTCTTAAAGGGGCATACTTTTGAACCACTGACCTTTCACTCACATGGCAACACTATCCACAGAGGACGTGTTTATCACATCAGTGTTGTACACTACTATTTTACTGATGCAACATCAGCCCAAACTACTACAGAATAGTCAAAATGTATCTTTCAAACAAGTCAGTATGAAGAATGATTCTGTGAAGTTTTCAACAATCCTGAGAGTGGACATTGCAACTTGCAGCCCGTCTGCCAGCACAACATACAGACGTACTTGGCCACTATTTCTAAGGATAAGCAATACCAATAGGACAGTAACAGGTAGAATGACATCAATACCTACCTTGCAGAGAGGAACAATCTCAACAGAGAAGGTGTATTTGTAGTTGTAGGTGTTGTTATGTGGGTCATGCGACACAAGCTCCTTGGCCAACTGACACCTGAAACAACATTATTTGGTACTGACACATGAAACAACATTATTTTGTATGTGACTCCTGGCACAACATTATTTGTTACTGACACATGAAACAATAATATTTTGTATCTGACTCCTGAAACAACATTATTTGGTACTGACACATGAAACAACATTATTTTGTATCTGACACCTGAAACAACATTATTTGGAACTGACACATGAAACAACATTATTTTGTATCTGACTCCTGAAACAACATTATTTGGAACTGACACATGAAACAACATTATTTTGTATCCGACACATGAAACAACATTATTTTGTTTCTGACTCCTGAAACAACATTATTTTGAATCTGACACATGAAAAAACATTATTTTGTATCTGACTCCAGAAAAAACATTATTTTGTATCTGACACATGAAATAACATTATTTTGTATGTGTAATCACTTGCCGTTGCCGTTGTGGCCAGTTTATGATACACCCTACCGTCTCACACTGACAAATATTTGGAAGCATCTATATGACAGGAAGCAAACCTGAAAGTGTTTCCAGCTGACAGTTGTTGCACCATTTATGTTTATCCAACTAGACAACGTTGATATCAATGTCAATTAAATATAGATTTGATGACATTTTCAGTCATTTAATTTAAAAAAAGGTAACCCCTTTTCCTAAAATGTTGAGTTTTAAAGTCAGTAATATAATTCAAAACTATAATTACCAAAATAGACATTTTAACATAAGACAGTGAGTGCTTGAGTTGGGTTTAGCACCACTTTGAACAGTATTCCAGTTATAGCTTGATGTGGGAGGAAAGCCCAAAGTGATGCAGGTCTTAGACATTTATCACTTTGTTGAAACCCATGAACATGGTTATGGTGCTGACAAACCTAGAAACATAATCGAGGCAAACCGAGATTGAAACTCAGGATCATAGGTTTCTGGCATGCCAAAAGGATGCAACTCTGCACAGCGAATTGCGGCGCCTTAGACGGCTGGGCCACCTGTGCCCCCTTTAACATGAGATAACATTTCTCAAAGAAACAAGATCATCCTTAAATATTGGTGTTGTAAGTTTATTATATGTTAATGAAATGGTTCACCTTTCCACTAAAGTTAATAAAGCTTATGTTAATCAAACATTTTCAAAACACATTTTTAGGTTAGTCAATCAGCATTATGAATTGCTAGACTCACTTGCACGGCACATATGTTGACAGAAAGTCCGTCAACTTCCTCGCGTCCTGCTGAGTGGCATAGAAGAAGTCCAAACCACCTAACACCAAGGAAAAAATGTCATGTACATAGTACTTTCAGTAAACTTTCCGAAATACAAGTAGTGAGTTTGAACAGTATTGCCAGAATAGCCAACTCTGACACAGTATACTGATTCAAAGCTGACCAGTCCTTGTTATAGCCCCTTAATGCCAAGCGCCAGACAGGGTTACAACAAGTACAATCTTTTATCGTCTTTTGGTATGACACGGCCGGGGATTGAACCCCTGACTCTCCACTCTCAGGGCAGATGCTCTACCACTAGAGGCAGTTGACAGATATAATCAGGGTGAATCTGGGATTCAAACACACAATTGTAGGGTTCTGGCAAGCCTAAGGGAGGCAACTCTGCATAGCAAATCACAATATCTAAGAAAAAAAATGAATATTGATATACATAATTTATTTATAACCAATGAAGGAGTAAATGGAATAACTGGAGGAGGAGGCACCTGTGTCAAGGACATAAGGGCAGCAATAGGGTTAACTAATTTGGTTGCCGATGTCACCAGATTTAAGGATCAACTCTGAATGACTTAAAAGAAACTTTATTTATGGCCATGAGATCATTTTTCACTCACTGAAAGTAATTATTTGATGAGAGATATTTAATAAGTTACCTCTGCAATGACAGTAACAGTGTTTGTAGTATTTGCAAGTGTGCTGACAAGATTCCTACCCTGACTCTAAGGACAACCTATGAGAGAGAGCCTCACCGTATATTGGCTTGATGTTGACGGTGTTGGAGTGAGCCTTGTGCTTCAAGATTAGCTGCTCCAGGTAAAAGAAGGTCTTCTTGTGTTCTGTCTACAGTCAACAAAAAGATTATAAAATAAACTTGTGAAGCAAAAGTGTAATGTTTTCCAAGAATGAAAATGTTTGTGAATTATTAACATCCATTATACTCCCTCGTTTTAAGGCATTTTATTGCTAAATGTGTGAGCAATGTTTCATGTTTTGTTTAGTAGCACATATTCATGATCACAAGTGTCAGGGAACTGAACAGTCTTTTGCATGACAAGTCAACAACTTACCAACTTGACTATCAATGTCTCTAAAATCAGATCTTTTACCCTGTAATAACTATCAATGTTAAGATCTGACAAACCATCAAAAGGAGGTCTTGTCAGGTGAACCCAGAGTGAACTCTGATCATCTCCCTTTCAGAAACCGTGGTTTATAAAAAAATCGATGACAATATCATAGTGCAGGCTTTGTTGTTTTTTTGCATTCAGAACTGCTAATGTATGTTCGTTTTCGAGATACAGAAGTCACATATGCTGCTCTGAATACCTTGGTCACTCGTACCAAAACTTAATCATCCTCAGAGCTGACTGGCTGTCCTGAATATGGAGGGTTTGTTAGATCTTCACACACAGAGATATCATATCGAAGCAAAAGATTTTATCTTGAGCACGACGAGGCTGCCATCTACCCTGGTGAGAGGACAAGTACCTTCTGTCTGACTTGCACCACAGCCTTCCAGTAGTCTTTGGCCTCCACACGCTGACAGTCTTCACAGATCTGACTGTTGACAACAAACTCCACCACAAATACCTGCTGCAACACTGCCCCATTCATCACCTGTACAAAATACAGATCTTGATAAGTCTTACACAAGGAACTTATACTGCAATCAAATCTGTTCCTCCTAAAGATTGCTGTATCTTAGTTTCCTTGATTTTATTCATATGGTGTTTAAGTGCATAGGCTCGATATATTTACAGAGCGCCGTCATATAGCTGGAATACTGCGGAGTTAAAATACAAACAACCTCATCAAGGATGTAACTGTAAACTAGTATACTAAACTATCTAACATTTCTTTGGTATTTGGACACAATTTCCTTTCAGTCTTACATATTTAATGACAAACGACTAATGGAGTATTTTCATGTACCTCCTTCTGTACCGAGAGTTTGACTTTGACTCTCTGTGAATGAGGCTCTGTCCAGATGAAGCCTGCATCAACCAGGTTGACCTGTAGAATAAATGTTCAACTCAGAGACAGCAGTACTCATGCATGGGCTAACATAAGAGCCATCATTCATCTGTGAAAGAAACAATCTTATTGCAGCTGGCTTCTTTTCTCATTCTTCATCATTTTCATATATTTTCTTTAGAACTGTACTTTAACTCTCTGGTTCTCAATCAAAATCTGATAGTCAAGAGAGAATACTCCGTTGGCAAAATAAACTTCACACAACATCATCATCACTTTAATTCACCTGTTAAAACAACTTCCATCTTGGCATACAAGGCAAATCCTTTACATAATATGAAAATATGAAGAACATAATTATTTAAATCTAAAAATGACCAAAACAATTGCAAGAACATCTAAGGGACCAGCTATGCTTCTTGGTCTGACTGGTCTTAGTCATCAGTAATCATAACTGTTTGATTGATAAACCTCACAAAATGTGCATCACACACAATACAGCCACACAGCGTAGGAATTGAATGACTTGAATGCTAATTGCAATGACTGTCAACTAGCCTGACCACATTGCCCCTTTCAAGGCAAAAGGCATTCTTCAACATGCCCTACCTTTGCCAGTCCTTTAAGCCTCTTGAGACACACTGTGAGGAGCTCCCTGGACTCCAGCTGGGCAGATATCCATGTGGCAGGAGGCTGCAGATACCTGACAGTACATGTATCATACAGTGCGTGAGTTGGTTTCAAGGTCTACACAGTGTACAAATCACTACCAGGATATAGGCAATTCTCTCACATATGTAATAGCAGATTTGTCTCAAATAAAGCTGCAGAACCAACAACATTGTTTTTACATTGATACAAGATAAAGGCTATGCTTTACAATAAAATTGATCACACAATGTTAAAAATCTGAGGGACATACCGTATTTGATCTATACAGTGTCCTGCTCATGTATAGTTAGATATTTTAAAGAAAATGGCAGAGCAGAAGGGGAATATAAATTATCATTGCCTAGTAACTATCATCAAAAACGTTTCAGTTTCATCAATGTTTGAACAAAGTCTATTCACTGCCACTCAATCGCTGAAAACAAATTTAACTCATCATGTATGGTTTTAATAAGCGCCCTACTTTATCCATTTTCTAAATGCCCAGTGCCTTATTATGGCAAATACGGTAATGTAAATTGAAAGTGTTCAAAACAAAACATGAACATGATGAAAGTCGAGTAGTTCTTGTGATAGCCCAATGCTAAAGTGATTGATAAAGGTGTCCTTAAATTCAAATCCTATAGGAGCAAATCTCCAAGGATCCAAGGACTGCTTATTGTACACAGTTAGTAAAAACTCATGATTCAAATTGCAGAAGCTGCTTCATCAAACGTAAGGTTTACCTTTCACACTTGCGGCAAAAATAGAGTACAGCCTGTTTGGGAATTCCCTCTGTGATGTCAATCTGTCCTCGCAGACATGCTACACACGTGTTTGTTGGGTTCGGCTCTATTGGGGTCCCACATCTACAGCACAGGCTGAAGAACAAAACATGCTTGTCTAATTGTTGGTTCATTCAACAGAAGCAGGTTTTACAAAGTCACGGTCACTCTGGCCATCATAGCCATCTGTTATACCAGGCGGTGCTGAGGCTAGGTTGAGTTTGAACACAGCTTTGAACATCATTTCTGTTATATCACAGCTCCCAGTTTGTTGTGGATAGAAAGTGATGCAGGTCATACATGTACAGCACTTTGCTAAAACCAATGATCACATGTATGGTGCTGTACAACTGGTATGAATCTTTTATCTTTGGAACACCTGATCTGTGGGTCCTGGCATGATCAAGGGACGCAATGCACCTCAAAGGCTCTGTCTGTTTCATGTTTCTTGTCTCAGTAATTAAATTAATCAACCAAAAACAATTACACTTGATGCAATTAGCTTCAAGATATGTATTGCTACACTTTCACTATCTGACATCCACTGGTCGCTTATACAGAACTAAACATTTTACTAAAATCCAATGCTGAGTTTTCTCCAGCCTTCGCAAGCTCTGTCAAAGTGCAAATTATGGAATATCATGGACATATAATTATACCATCCTGTTCCCAAACTCTTCATCTTTAAGTATACCACGAGCAATCAAAAAGGATACACAGCTCATTAGTACATTGAAGAAATAATTCTATCACTTTGGTCTTAGCTTAATTATTAAAAAGTATATGATCTCCATAATACATATCTTATTAAAGGAGTAGGATAGGATCTACGTAAGAGTGGTTACAAATAATAACAGTAACACTTATCAAGCATTTCCAAATGAAAGATCGTGAACATGATGAATAGCTGATGAGCATCATAAATCAGTAGAACTTACATAGTATTTGTGGACTTCACTTGACTGTCCGTCATGTATTCCATGATTGTTTAGAGGAGTGCTATGTCTCGTTGTGGTTTAGATTCTGACGGACTTCAAACTGACAACTATATCAATGTGCTCCCTTACACATTCAGCCTGCCATGTGTTGAGCAAGGTTGTGACATCACGGGCACCTACTGCATTATCTCCCTTGACTACTATTAGCTTTACAACAGATGACATACTATAGTGTCAACGTTGGGCAATATGGTCACGTCATCCTAATAACTGACTATATGTAATAAAAGAAGCGACTGGAAATGGTATCATGCAAATTAAAGTAGTTGCCTGTCGTCAGATGCGACTAACGGGATCGGGTGGACAGGCTTCTATGTCATCGTATCCCAATAGGGTAGATCGATGCTCACGATATCAATCACAGGATTTGGAGATTCACTCTCGATTATTCACATAGCTGAAATATTGCTGAGTGCCGCGTAAAACAACAAACAAACATAAATCTTTTGACGTATTCCCACTGTAGATGGGTCCCTGCAACATTTGCTTCTATATAGTATTTCATCGCTCCCCGACGGCGCGGATCACTGGTCAATATCAATCGTGCCCGTTTGACTTGATTAATTACAGATCGCTGTCACATAGCTCCGTGTGTGTGTGTGTGTGTGCGAGCGTGCGTGCGTGTGTGTGTAAACTTGTTTTAAAATTTCACAATTATTTGTATTTGCAAGGGACCATGTGAACTTTAATAGGCGAGGTGGCGTTTTCGCCAATCAGTGCCGTTTTCGAAGGGGGACGTTTTGCTGAGGTGCCATTTTAGCTATAACCCCTTGTATAAAAATCTGTATGTACGCCATATACAGGGGATATTCTCATGATCGACCCAAACTGAGAAATGCATGTTTTATGTACCGATTTTTTACTCCTGGACTTCCGATTAAACCTCCCGGGCGTCACCAAACGTCTCCGGACGCCCCCGGGCCTTTAATAGTAGCACCCCGATTGGTGGTACGATGACATGCAATCAACATGTAATCAACCGAGTCACCAAGTTTGACCATCCGATCTATTTAGTCGCCCCTTCCAAGCATAGGTTGCTAGGGACATGGGTCCCGTTATACAAAGCGATCTTAGCGCTGAGGTGATCGTATCTCTCATACCATAACATGGACTTACGACAGTTGTATAACGGCACCCTGTAATCTTACCCGGAATTCCCCACGGGTTGACGTGCACATGCACATGTTTCATGCAAAACGCGTGCCTGGTTAATGTAACATCCCCGTACATACCGCTTTTGGTATGTTTAACGAATTCATCATTACGAGTTAAAACTACATTTTTAGGCGAACCGCGTTGAAATACTGTGACAGTTAGATTCTACCTTGTGTCCGACAAAAACACTGTGTTGTTTGAACAGTGTGTGATGCGGCAGACAAGTGCATGGCGTCACCTCATGGTAGTGGCGTTATAAATGTCAGCTAGTCATAGCACTTGCGGGGTGGAATGGTCATGCACATCAACGCACCGTAGTTCTCCACACATTCTTTTATTGGAGACTTATATTCGGTGAAATATTTTGTGTGCCTAGCTAGATCTATCAAGATGTTAATTAATTGTGAATCAAACATATGACGTCATAGTTATAATAGCGAGTCGACTTGCACACAGCGACTCGCCAATCAGATGGCAAGATGTTAGGGCGCATGTTGATAAAGTCGCGACAAGTTTAAATTGTGGGATGTACGGGACCTTACGTGTCGAATGCACTTGTATACTATGAGACCATATTGACACTTGTAACGATTTGCTAATTTCGAGTTCACAAACTGCGGAGACATATTCGATGATTTGGTGTTTGTGCGTGTGTGCTTGTGTGTGTGTGTGTGTGTGTGTGTGTGTGAGAGAGAGAGAGAGAGAGAGAGAGAGAGAGAGAGAGAGAGAGAGATTATTATTACTTGCCCGTGAAGAGATCACCCGTTTAATAAACATACAGCTGTATTACACATTGTGTAATACCAAAACGCGTGCTTATGTACTCTCTGAACACGTTTCACGAACAAATATTGAAAACTCTCAACATCCCTTGGCTTATTCAACGACATTGCGTGTGGAGATGATAGATCATTGAGAGGAGCTTATGCACACTCGATTACCCCAGCAACCTTGTTGCTAGGCTGACGTCACATGGCATTGTTTCGCCGATGGATCTTGCAACAAAATTCCACAAATTACGTCATCCGGTATTGTGACGTGTTGTACACTTTGAGGTGCAAGGCCCGTTCCACAAGGCGATCGTATTGTAGCGCAACGACAGTCGTTAGTCTAAGTTAAAGTATGTGAGTTGCGATAAGCCCTACGATAATTTTGTGGAACGGACGCCTGAATTCTAAAGGTGGACCGTTGTATGGTATTAAATTCATACGTTTCAACTTTTGACGTGTTTGAAGTATTATTCTGTTAAACTCAATTGTACTATGCCGTGGATCGTGTAGGTTTCAGCCTGTTCATACTCAACAGTATAATTCTAAAAACGTTATAAATGGCAAGTAATAAATAAAATACTAAACTCGCTCCCGTGTAAAACCAATTTTATGAAACTCGTGAATAGTTGTGGTATCTAACTCGCTTTGGCTCGTTAGATACCACAACTATTCACTCGTTTCATAAAATTGGTATTACACGGGAGCTCGTTTAGTATTCTATATTTAGACCACAAAAGGACTCCGTAATATGGTCACTCAGTGTGCAGACAGTCAATTGTGACGTAACAAACGAAAGACGTCACATCAATCAAATGACGTCATTGTATTCGTAGGTAGAGGTCGACCAGCCATCTTTATGATTGTTTGTTTGTTTTCAGGACCGAGCTAGCAACATAAGATGTAATGATAAAGTCAAACTGCCAAGGCCCGAGCCCATCCCCGCATATTTGGCCAATTTCGTGTCATTGCCAATGTATATACTCTTTAGCCGTTTTAGCTATCCAGGTGCCACACTGTCTCCCTATAAACTAATCGCATAACGTATTACGTCAACTGGAACGGGCTGTCTGGACGTGAGTCGAACGCGATGGTACATGTACTACTGGAATCAAAACTCGTTGGCATCATAACTTGTTGTACAGAGAGTAGCACCTTCCCAACATGAGACGAGATCCTGTCTATTTATAAGAAAACGACAGCGCATTACAACAACGACACCAGTGCAACATTTGTGGAGTGTATTTGTGCCGTTGTTGTGAAATCATAGCATCACATTGCTATCATATATTTCAAGTATTTTTATGATAAATAAAGTTATTTTGTTTGTTTAGTAATATCATAACTCATAATATAAAATAAAGTGGTTATATTACGAAAACACCATTACGTCACTTGAAGCGACGATCTCTCTTACACTGAACGTGTACTGTACTTCCTCACTTCATTATTCTTCATACATAATTCATGCGACATGTGAACACATACGGGTATTCGCCACGTAAGGTGTGTGCGCTTATATTTGCTTATGTTTTCATGTATCTTTCGAGACTTATTCGCAGAATTATATCCTGCTAAATATATGTTCAACGAGGTGCACCAAAATAGGTCACCCATTTGGCGTTTTCAAGAAGTGTAGATATATGTGCATGGTACTGTAGCACGAGTGCTGCACGACTGGGCGACTGTCAATGCTGAGTGGAGAGGACAAGTCAAACATCAACTCAAAGAAAGACCTTTGAATGTCAATATATCTTGAAAGGAAATTTCGAGTAGCATTTAAATATATTTCTCTTATTAATTAACACATAAATAATGTTCAGTTTATTAATTTTTACAAAATAATCGCCTAAATATTATTTTAATAGATTTTTGAAATTCTGTCAAATCTGACTAGTTTAGTTTAAATGTGGTATATTTCTTGTAATCTACAACATGAATTATGGCGAATTTTAATTCTATGTCATGTTAGATAAATTGTAAAGATCATAATTAAATTTGTACATACCAGCAGAGACGATATATGGTCTCTGGTACCAGAGATTGGTCTCATCTCACATGTCTTGCAAATACTTAAGATTTAATGAGAAAAACAGATAAAGACGTCAAATACGTCTTAATACTGAGTAATTATTTAGAACTTGAACTGGAGCAAGATCTTTTGTAAAAATATCAAGACATGTGAATTTAGAATAATCCAACCACATATACTGAATTCAATTCTGATTTTTCAGGCATATCTTTTTGAACATACCAAGAAGGGGAATGAACCATCCAGAAACAATGCAGATACTGAGAGATGCTCGACACCCTATCACACAAAAAAACAGGCTGCTGAACTTGTTCCGGAAGAAATCGTTTTGCGACCTCCACCTTTGCAGCTCAGATGGAACACTATTCCGCACACACAAGCTTGTGCTGGCATTGTATTCTGACTACTTCAGACATTTTGCATCCCTCAAAAAGGGAGCTGTTGGTCCTCGCTCATCGACAGAAGTTGTCAACCTAGGTATTGTCACTTAAAAACAAAATGTTGTGTTAATGATTACATGAGTGTTAAGACCCATGAAGATCTGTGGTAGGTCTTCAGCAACCTATGCTTGCCGTAAAAGGCGACTATGCTTGTCGTAAGAGGCGACTAATGGGATCGGGTGGTCAGGCTCGCTGACTTGGTTGATGCATGTCATCGTATCCCAATGCGTGGATCAATGCTCATGATGTCAATCACTGGATTGTCTGGTCCAGACTCAGTTATTCACAGACCGCCGTCATATGGCTGGAATATTGCTAGAGTGCGGCGTTAAACAACAAACAAACAAACAATAAAAGATGGTACTTGTCGGTACCCTGCCTGGTGCTCAACATAAGAGGATAAAGAAAGGACTGGCCATCTTGTTGTCGGTATACTGTGTCTGAGTGGGGTATTCATGTTAAACTGCGGCATTGTATCTTGACTGACTAGCACTATAAAACTGACATAAGTTTAGACTAGTACAAGCACACACACACTCACACTCACACTCACACTCACACTCACACACTCACACTCCCCTCACTAGATTTTAACATGGCCGCCAAAGCAGCGATATTGAAAAAGTTGTGTTTTTCTCAGGACCTTGACACACCATTTCTGTGTGTGTGATGCTTTATTTCATACTTTGATTTTTGACACTTCTACAGCACTTGGACTTCACATACCCCCAGTTTTTCATGTCATGAATATCAGAAAACCAACAAATACAAAAGGTCTGATGTTATATCACCTAATGTCTCTCAATATATGTGTCTAATGCCTTTCAATATATGTTTCAGATGTTGAAGCATGTATCCTTGCTATTTTACTGGATTACATTTACAAGGGAGAATTTGCAATAGGCCCAGAGAATCAAGGGAAGATCTGGAGAGCTGCCAAGCTTCTTCAGCTTCAGGACATTGTTCAACTTATTGATGACAACAGAGAGCTCCTCGGGGTGAGCATCGAGACTCTTAATCAACCAGAACCTGTCGTGAAGCAGGAAGTGGTCTCCCCACAAAGTACAGCAAGACACAAGTCACGGTCAAGAGGCCGATCGTTAGGTAAATCTGGTCGTAAAGGATGTCCAGAAGCTGACCAGAAAGATTTGAAGCACATAAAAGGATACAGCATAACGTCACAAGATTATGATAAGGTGGATGAGTTACTGAAAGTATCTATGTCAGCTTTTGTTGGTCATAAGCAGGGAAATAAGGGTGAAGTTGAAGGATCTAAACATTGGTCCAGTCATGATCATGAAGCTCTGCAACATGAAACTGAGACATTGGAAACTAAATTCAAACCATCTGAAAGCGGAGTTGGGGAAAGTGAAGTCATGTCAACACAGTCCCACAGCTTACAACATTGTTCTGTTTCCAATTTATCTAAAACAGCAGACGACTCGGATGAAGAATTTTCTGGTTTTTCCATCAATTTTGGAAAAGAGGATGAAGACTTTGTTGATGATGATGCCAGTGATGACACATTCAGGCCATCTAAATCCAGAGGTAAAAAGAAATCCAAGTCTCATTCCCCTAAAAGAAAGACAATTGACAAACACACAAAAACAATGTCACACATTTTGAATATTCCCAAGATGAAAAGATCAGGTGTCCTCCCCTGTGGGATTGTAGCAAGATGGATTCACAAGAAATATTATCCATTTGTTTGTAGTTCCAACTTCATATCTTCACACCCAGCTGGAGTAGGCATTCAGCAAGGAGACCATGACTTCCTGAATGCTTCAACTTCAAGCCCTAAGCTGCACCTGTGTAATGTTTGTGGCAAGGAGTTCAGTTTAATTAGTATCTGTAGGAACCATGTGCTCAAAAAACATGTCAGGAATAAGTCCAGATACAAAATGGCAAATGCCATTAGGGCCAAGAACATGCTGACTGTGAATCAAGAAACCTCCTTATTGAGGATTCATATGAAGCAAAATATGAACAAAGATTATAAGAAATTGGAATTACCGCAAACGAGTTTACGACCAAGGAGTAGGGCGACGAAGGCGATGCCAAGTCCTTTTAGTGGCCAGAAGTGTGCCGATTGTGGAGCAGTTTTGTCATCCAGGTATTCCCTGAAGGTCCATCTGGAGAACGTTCATCAGCTGACATCAGAACAGGTACATGTCTTACTAAGACTATTCGCTACATGTGCTTGTTGTGCAAAGGCTATGCGACCATTACAGGTGCTTGTTGTATTAAGGCTGTCATAACGGTGTTATTAGGTGTACTAAGGCGATGTCACAACAGGTCCTTGTAGGGCTGGTATTGGTCCAGGTACCCACAGGACTAACTGGACCTGTGGTTAGTCTTGGGATATATTTTCAATGACAAAAATTCACTATAATTCCATGGTTACACTACAAGTCACTAATGTTTGAATTCCATCTGACTTTTATATGTTTGAGTAAAGATAAAGCTGCAGTCAACTTCAATGTATTATTAATCAGATCATTATATACCACTATCTAAACAGTTTTTGCCACAGTTCTGGTAAAACAATTCCCAATCAGACATTTTGTACCCACCTCTTAAGCCCGACAGTGTGTACTCTTTTACTAAGGCCATCTCAACAGAACAGGTGCTTGTACTATCAACAGCTATCTCACCACAACAGGTGTTTGTAATATTAAAAGATATCCCACCAGAACAGGTGCTTGTACTAAGGCTATCTCACCAGAACAGGTGCTTGTAGTAAGGCTATCTCACCAGAACAGGTGCTTGTACTGAGGCCATCTCACTAGAACAGGTTCTTGTACTATTAAAGGCAATCTCACCTGAACAGGTGCTAGTACTGAAGCTATCTCACTAGAACAGGTGCTTGTACTAAGGCTATCTCACCAGAACAGGTGCTTGTACTTAGGCTATCTCACTAGAACAGGTGCTTGTAGTAAGGCTATCTCACCAGAACAGGTGCTTGTACTGAGGCCATCTCACTAGAACAGGTTATTGTACTATTAAAGGCAATCTCACCAGAACAGGTGCTAGTACTGAAGCTATCTCACTAGAACAGGTGCTTGTACTAAGGCTATCTCACCAGAACAGGTGCTTGTACTTAGGCTATCTCACTAGAACAGGTGCTTGTACTATGATAGGCTATCTCACCAGAACAGGTTCTTGTACTAAGGCTATCTCACCAGAACAGGTTCCTGTACTAAGGCTCTCTCACCAGAACAGGATCTTGTACTTTTAAAGGCAATCTCACCAGAACAGGTGCTAGTACTAAGGCTATCACACCAGAACAGGTGCTTGTACTGAAGCTATCTCACTAGAGCAGGTGCTAGTACTAAGGCTATCACACCGAAAAGGTGCTTGTTCTAAGGCTATCACACCAGAACAGGTTTGCTTGGCCCAGATTTGCTTATTTACAGGTGGCAAGTATTTGCCTTCAGTTTATGAAAACGTAATTTCAATGTTCAGTAATCATAACCATTAGTTATGTATACTTTATGATATTCCCTTTCAGATAAGCATGCACAAGTCCTTCCTGATTTGCTGTGACGTGGAGGGCTGTGACTTCTCTCACAAGATGACGAAGACTGTGGAGCGCCACGTGAAGGCGGCCCACCCAGCTGTGGAACACAAGTGCCCTCACTGTAACTTCACCTTCTACCTGAAGTGTGTCATGGACAATCACATTGCTCGCAAACACCTGTTCCCTGAGAGAATGAGGTTTGTGTGCTCAGTCTGTGGCAAGAGATTTCCCAAGGGTTTTCATCAGAAGGTGCACGAGCAGTGGAAACATGGGGTCAACCATGACATCAAGGTAGGGTACTGAGGGTGATTAGGGACAGACTGTGTTCAAGGGGTGGGGATGGGAGTTTTGTTATATGCATAATTTCTTGGGGTCACTGCTTCTTCTTTGATCATGTATATATAAGATTATGTTTTTGCAGTATTTCCTAAAACAAAGTCTATTTAGGAATATACCAGGGAATTCAGGAGGGTTTCAAAAGTGATAATAATTAATTGCCAGAAAGTGTCTTCTGAGGCAATCTTAAACAATAGTTTGTCACTGTCATGTGTTTTTCAACAGACTGATACCTGTTTTCTGACATATTTTAGTAAATACTTCTTGTTGCAGAGGTACAAGTGTCCTGTTGAGGATTGTAGTTTTGAGACCTGTTCCAAGTCGAACCTTGACACTCACCGCAATGTCCACACAGACAAACGCTATGACTGTCAGTACTGCAGTATCAAGCTCAAGACAACTGCGTAAGGTTCAAGCCATTTGTCAGCCAACCATGTCCGTTGTCTATCAATCAGTCATTAACGTAGCATTTGAACATGACGTTTGAAGTAACTACATGTATGTGTATGACCTGAAGCTTTCAGACTTGTCTGATTTCTGAGAACCATATTACAAACATAAAGTGCATTTTCTAAATGTCCCACTTCCACAGCGCCGATGACTAATAATCACAATGTGTATAAGACGTCACAATTGGGTTCACGAGGAATGACGTGGTACATAAGTGCATTGTGAAGCTCGGTGTTGTGTTGCTCGTTGCATGCATGTAGATGTTATTCACAATGGAATATGACCGATCTAACACGGAATATTTTACAAATTGCAGTGCCATCTGGTCTTCTTTATTGTGAATGTTGTCCTTCAGCATTAGGTGTCCCTTGTGTACATTGATGTTCTTCAGTACACAGTTCTTTGTTTCGTATATTGGCTTTTCTTTGCTACCGATATGGTATATCCGGGTTGATCAGTGGTGTTTCTATCATATTTTGAGTCTACTTATTCATATGCAAATACATGTATTGACCTTTGTTCGTAACTTTTAATACTTTTTCGTAATTTTTATCTAATATTGCGTACTGTAGACCTTTATTGCAATTGATGTATTGATGACATTAGTTATGATTATATTAAGATGAAGTGGGAAGTTTTTATTCCATTTTGGGAATGACCTCTTTAATAGACTTTTTGAAGGGAGTACATAAATACATGACACTTTTTTATGGATAGAAACTTCTTTTTCTTCTTTGTACAACGTTTCAGAGCTGCTTCTTGCTTCACCTAGAAGCAAGAAGCAGCTCTGAAACATTGTACAAAGAATAAAAAGAAATTGTTATACATAAAAAAGTGTCATATATTCAATTTGTGAATGTTTACTGACATTTGCTGCAGACTTGGGGCTGAAATATCATTCTCAGAGCAGGTCCTGATATATCCCTGAGCATGTGACGTGTAATGCAAATACGTTTTCAGTGTTCCTTTGGTATTTCCAGAACCCTTCAACGCCACATCAACAAAGTGCACCTGGGTATCCGGCCCTACTTGTGTCAGATGTGTGGCCACTCATTTGGTGACTACCACAACCTTCAGTCCCACATCGTCAACAAGCATGTCACGGAGAAAGAGTTCAAGTGTACACACTGTCCCTATGGCACCAACGTCAAGGCCCAGTTTGCCAGTAAGTTGCCTGTTCATACTCTGTGCCATCATGTTTATGTCACAGTTAGTTTAATCATTTAGACACAAGTTTACTGGATGTGTGTGGTTGGGATTTATCATCATCACAAAAGTCCAGCTCCAGATAAGGTGCTTATATGTGTAAAATATGCAAAATATATCACCATGACCCAATTAATTTTGAGTTGCATACAAATATGCATGTCATATTTTAAAAACCCAAGGAAAACTGTGTAATTATCCAGTGTATCCTTTTCAAGTCGCATACCTATATGTCTTACACTTTAGGGGTGGCTGGGCACAAGTGGCTCAGTTATCTATAGCGCATCCCTTGGGTACGTCAGAAACCAATGATCGTGGGTTTGAATCCTGGTTCACCCTGATTAAGTTTTGTCAGCACCAAACTGTGCTCATGGGTTTCATGTATAGAGCTACAACTGTTGTAAATCTATGTTAAAGTATTGGAGTTACGATCGTCTTCGCATTACAACTGTTGTAAGTCTATGTTAAAGTATTGGAGTTACGATTGTCTTAGCGCTACAACTGTCGTAAGTCTATGATAAAGTATGGGAGTGATGATCGTCTTAGCTCAACAATCGCTTTGTGAATAACGGGGCCTGGTCAGTATAACAAAAATGTCAACTGTTACTAAGCCCAGTGTTGTCTTCCAGTTCACCTGTTCCGAATTCATGGTGTCCGGGCTGACTTTGACAAGAGGAAGGAGTTCGCCTGTCGTTATTGCGACTACAAGACGCTGATGAAGAGTAGGCTCAAGGCCCACGTCAATAAACATACCAATACCCGTAACTATGCATGCGACGAATGTGGGAAGACCTTTGTCAACTGTGACACCCTGCGTAGCCACAAAGAATGGCTGCACTCTGAAGCAAAGTACTCATGCAACCAGTGCCCATACATCACCAAGACTTCGAAGCGGCTTCAAGAGCATATATCAATCCAGCATATGTTTAAGGGGCTGAAGCCCTTCATGTGCCCCTACTGCCCATTCACGTGTGCGACAGGCGGCAATACACGCAAACATGTGAAGAAGAAGCATCCTACTCAGGAAGTGAGGTACGTGAAGAACCTGGAGGTTCTGGGATACATGAAAGACATGAGGAAGAGGGAAGCTGCAGCAGACCCCCTGAAAAACATGAGTTTGACGCAGTGAGCGAATGAGTTTGACGCAGTGAGTGAATGAGCTTGACGCAGTGAGTGAATGGGTTTGACACAGTGAGGGAATGGGTTTGACGCAGTGAGTGAATGGGTTAACACAGAGAGTGAATGGGTTTGACACAGGGAGTGAATGGGTTTGACACAAGGCATGAGTTTAACACAGGGAGTGAGTATGACACAGTGAGTTGGGTTTAATGCCACTATTGTCACCTGGCATATTGTTGGGTTACTGTTGCATACACAGGGGGTGGTGGGATGGGGGGATTCATCCCACCTTTTTGCAACAAAGTAAACATTTATTCACTTGCAACTGGAAGTTTCATGTGTGCCATGTGAAAAAAACTTTCAACACTACATCTAACTCCTTTGGTGATGTTTTCAACAAGAATAGCACAATTACCAAACTCAAATTGCATTTGGATCAGGAAATTCACCTCTATTACCAAAAAGCTGTATCCTCACTTGTGTTTGAGGAAAACTAGGAGTGGCATGAAGTTGTGATTGTGATGAAACTGACAACAAGACTAAGCGACAACTGTACATTGTGAATTTTGGCAATGTGACTTCTTGCCCACCTGTGCAACATGTCCCAGTGTAATGTGGGACATCTAACACTTCCAATTAGCACAGTTGTCAGAGTGGTTTATTGAAACATTGCTGTAATCGATGAGTTCTTAGGGGGCTGTAGTGATTTGTACCTCCAGTTGTGTTTATCTTTTTCTGGTTTCTCTTTAATCAGCTAGAGAATATGCCCATAAAAACTACCGGTGTTGTCATGAATATTTGACTTTAGCAGGTCATTTGAAAGCAGTTTAGGGTTATAACATTTGTAGTTCTAAGTTAATGTTTATTTACAGTGAATGAAGTAACTCCTATTCCATATGTGAAAGTAAGATCAATATTATATATCAAACTGATGTCATGAAATATCTATATCTGGCTTTTAATTTCCATGAAAAAGATAGCGAGGTCAGTTATATTTATGGGTTGTGGGTGTTGTTGTTTCTTAACCCAGAGCTATTTTCTTTGTTGTTTCTTTACTGTTTTATATTTACTGTTTAAGTATCGTGACCAGAGAATGAACTATATCTGGCTCAGTTTTCTGTGTATGGGACAGTAAGATTGATTTAACTGATGGGATGGAGAGTTGGGTGTTCAGAGCCCAGAGCTATTTTCTTTGTTTTGAGTTTACTGTTATATATTTACTGTTTAAGTATGGTGACCAGAGAATGAACTATATCTGGCTCAGTTTTCTGTGTATGGGACAGTAAGATTGATTTAACTGATGGGATGGAGAGTTGGGTGTTCAGAACCCAGAGCTATTTTCTTTGTTGTTTCTTTACTGTTTTATATTTACTGTTTAAGTATCGTGACCAGAGAATGAACTATATCTGGCTCAGTTTTCTGTGTATGGGACAGTAAGATTGATTTAACTGATGGGATGGAGAGTTGGGTGTTCAGAGCCCAGAGCTATTTTCTTTGTTTTGAGTTTACTGTTATATATTTACTGTTTAAGTATGGTGACCAGAGAATGAACTATATCTGGCTCAGTTTTCTGTGTATGGGACAGTAAGATTGATTTAACTGATGGGATGGAGAGTTGGGTGTTCAGAACCCAGAGCTATTTTCTTTGTTTTTAGTTTACTGTTTTATATTTACTGTTGAAGTGTCGTGACAAGAGAATACCACTACATAATTCATACTTTGTTTATTCAGAATGATGCTTATTGCTGTCTGTGATATGTGTTCATATCAACAAAATAAATGAGTATGATAAGTGTAAGATGGCTGGCTGGTGTGTGTAAGATTAACTGAAGAGAATGCCCGATTTACCAGATAAGTTGTATAATGAGCAATTCCTAAACTGATTCCACCATTCCAAATAATTTGGCATGTGTCTGTGTCAAGATAATTGCTTTCTGTGTACGGTGTTAGTATAGAAACTGTTTCATGGATGTATGTTCACTTCAGGCAGATCATCGCATAAGACAGGGAAAGTACCGGTATACACTGAAGAGGAACATTGAAGAGAAATAAAGTTTTGATATTTATGTTTATATGGGATTGATTGCATTTTCAACATGAGGACGTTATGATCAGATTTTCTTTGATGACAGAAACGCTGTATTTTGTGGCTGGTATTTGGTCACTGGTTTTCAGCAAGAGTCAGATGAAATTAGAAAAAAATGGGAAATTGTTAATTCAAGATTTAACAATTTCTCAGTTCAATTCATTATAATTGATGATAGCCTATTATGTTTTGTTGATCTGAATTTCACCGATAACAAAACCAAGAGATAAAAGTCTTAAATGCATGGATATTTGTGGTATAGAATGAGGTTATCTTTCCTGGCAAGCACAGGCCCTTTGTACTACTTGGATAGTAGCTATAACAAGGTACCGGTAAGTCTGATTCAATATTATTGAAAGATAATTTGTTTCTCATGAAATTAATTTTTACCTTGTTCACTTCTGCTGACCATGCATCATTCAGCTGTTTTACAGTAAGACTCAATTCCTACTCCTGCAAACATTGTAAGAGTTTTGATAAGTAGAAATGTATGAAAATGTGTCTGAAGGATGACTGTTTGTGTTCTCTCGTGACTAGCTGCTGAAACATGATGCTGTTAAGTGATGCTCTGGTCCAACCTTATTAGATCCATGATCCATCATTTTAGCCAGAGTCTTATTCACATTCCTATTTTCATGTACAGTATGCGTCACCCTGATCACTGATAATTTGAACCTATGTAAGAAAAGGTTTTCAGCGAAAGTCTGTATTTTTATCACTGATTTTGTCAAGTGTCTTCTCTCTGGCACACACTGGATGCTCATGTGCTGTAACTTATGCATTTAGGATAACATTCCGCAGGAACTGCTGCCCCCGCCTTCTGCAAACCTGGCATGAACAAGGTTTATATCCTCAGTGACCTGTTCCTCAGCGAATGATACAAGGATCAGGTGGTTACATTGTGTGTCCTGGCTAATGGTGTCAGGATTATGTGAATCATTGACCTGAATTTGCTCATGCTACCAAGAGATCATTGTAATCTGGTTATGATTAGATCCTTTCCTCTCGCTCAGTCCTTCTCTCCATCAAGATCTCACAAACCAATCCTGGTGTAGCTGCGTATCTAATTTCTGTGTCGAAAGATGATTGTAAATTGTATGTCTAAATGGAGACTGATAACGGCTGTGCTAAATAGGCCGTTGATGATATATACACACTGTCTATGAGAACCAAGAGGGTTTACTTATGAAGGAACATCTGTGTTCTGTATGGGTTCTCCTCTGTTCAGATTAACATTTACAAATCCTGGTGGTACAGAAATGAAGCTGAATCATTTTAGAAAAGCTGACATCTGATTGGCTCAAGAGCCCACACACCCATCATTTGGGGGTCATAATTTGCCCAGGGTTCACCAAACGTGACTTCCTATTGAAGACTTGTGAGATCATGACTGAGAGAGGAATGGAATCAGTAGAGGCTGATTATAAAGAGAATGGAGATCATTGCTCATGCTGTCAACCTACGGTTTGCCTGGTGCAGACTTTATGACTGTAGTATTTGCCACTGTGATGTAGCGGGAATATTGTTGACACACTCACTCTGAGGCTCAGGACATGAGCCTCATGCTTATGTAACCTATTAAGTGCTGCAAACCAACTGACAGTTTTATTCGGGCTAGGAGTGTCTGCATCAAGTTGTATCCTGTGACAGTAACTACCTATTTGTCAGTTAATACAGTCAGCCAGAGTTCAATATGGGTGGTGGGGTAGTCTGGCAGTTAATAGGAGTAAAACAATACAGCAAGGTCACGATAAGATACCTATCATGATACAATATGTCTTGCGATAAACATAGTTACGTTAAATCATGTGGAACTTCTTGACAATAAATATTTCAGAACAAGTTCAAAAGGAAGAAGAATGGACACATGTTTGTAGGGGCTATTTTTAGTAGGAATGCTAATTACAACACATCTTGTGATATTTGACTGACAAACTTGCTGAGGGATCATTAAACGAGTAGTAAGTAATATATTTTTGCAAGTGTATCGTATTGTTTTGATACAGGAAAAAAAACGTAGCATGGATTGTATCATCGCATGAAAACTTACGATGCACCGGTACAGTATCGTCTCACCCCAAGTCGTTAAAGCGTTCACTAATCACACCAAAGGCCCATGTTCAATGGGTACAATGTATGAAGCCTTTATCTGCTGTCCCCTACCATAATGTTGCTGGAATATTGCTAAAAGTGATGTAAAACCATACTCAATTAGAGTTCAGTCACACATGGATATGTATGTATTTCCTTTGTGTCTTGTTCCTTTGATATGTATGGTCCTTGTGAGGTGAACTGAAAGCTTGCTGTCAAAACACACATGTGAGATGAAGTGCTGTCAGGAAATTAATGTACGATTCATGCGTTTATTTTTCTGTCATTTCCTCAATATGTTCTGACAAGTGTTATTGTCTTGTTACATGTGCATGGAGCTTTTCATCAACATCTTGCATGTAAGCAAGTAATAAACAGAACAAATATACCCGTATTTCTGTTTTTTCTCTTAACAGGTAAATTTCCTTGGAATTTAGGGTGAGTTAGAAGTGCAGACTAAATATATACTGAACAATTAAAAATTATGGGATCATGAAGAAAAAATAAATAAATAAAAATAAATAAATAAATTAAGCATTGTCTATATCACATCTTCAAATACCAAGCTCAAGACACGTTTTTATACTACCGTAAAGAAGTAACGATGCTTCATATAAAGCGTAAATGTTACGGTACTGAAAATATACATTTAATATTTGGTCATTCGACTGATCGAGGTTTTATCATAGCCAACTCACTTACAAAACCCATACCCGGTAACAGGAGACAGATCCACAGGCTCTAAAAGTGGTGCAACAAGTCAATTAACAATGTGATTATCGTGTGTGTCCACTTTGATACATGCGAGGCTGTGGCAGCGCATTGAAGACACCAGGTGATTGTAAACAGCCTGGGGGATGTTCCAAATGTGAACCAAAGATTGGCCCAACTGAGTTGGGGTTACCCACTGGTTCTGATCCTGTGGTAGGCGTCGTAACATCTCAGCCCAGACATGTTCAGTGGGGAGAGGTTTGGAGGAGAAGTCGGGCATGGCAGTACAGCAATGTTATGCTGCCTCAAAAAGTCTGTTACAACACGTGCAACATGTGGGCAGGCATTATACTGCTGCACGTTACGTCCCTGCTTTTGCACAAAGGGATGTCGTACCGGTACTGTACGCCACTCATATTGGCATTAACGATGATGAGTTGTGTTCTCCCACGAGTTGTGAAGCCACCCCATATCAATACCTTAGATGCTGTCGGCACCTGAATATCTTTCAAAATACCTTTAACAAGACAGTATTTTTTTTAGTATTTAGGTGCTATGGATGTTGGTCATGTTTAAATAGGTTAGACCACTCCGATTCCAATGCCTAATCACTGAAATGTCAGTTGAATGACCATTTGAACTATTAAACATTGGAGCCTCGTGGTCGAACCTATTCTAAGGGAGCAGCAAAGAGACCTATATGCGGTTACCAGAGCTAGTCCGTTGGTTGACGACACACTGATAAAACATTTCTTATTCTAAGAAATCACAAGAAATGTAAGAATAATGATGATGATAATAATAATAATAACAATAATGTGCACTTATAATGCGCTAGCCTCCATGTGGAGTTCATGCTCAAAGCGCTACATTCAAATGTCACCCTGGAAAGCTTTTTTGAACAAATGTGTCTTTTGTTTTGCTTTGAATGTCTGAAATGTTGAGGAAAGTTTAATCACAAGTGGAAGATCATTCCATAACTTTGGGGCAGCCACACTGAAAGTCTTTAGTCCATAGCTGGAAAGTCTATACCGAGGAACAGATAGCAGGTGTTGATTTGCTGATCGAAGAGTTCTTGGTGGATTATGAAGCTGGAGCAGAGTGGAGAGATAAGCTGGAGCCTGGTTGTTGACACACTTGTATGTCAAAGACAGCATTTTGTACATGATCCTTGACGCAACCGGAAGCCAGTGTAGATGCTTGAGGACAGGAGTGATGTGTGACGTACGTGATGTCCTTGTCACAATCCTGGCTGCCGTGTTCTGCACTAACTGTTTGCAACCCCCCACAACAAGCTGTTTCCATAGTCTAGCCGAGAAAACACCAAAAACTGAATGTTCTTACCCGCCTCTGTGGTGATGCTATAAACAACACTCCCTTTAGCGGTAGCGAGAACTAAGATCTGATTTTAATGGAATTAATTGAAAACGCATTTACTCAAAGTTTGACAAAAGCCAAAGTAAGTGATACAGCAATCTCATTAAAGTCAGGTCTTTGTTCTCGCTACCGCTAAAGTGGGTGTTGTTTAGCCGTATCGACAACGTAAGGAGATTGGTGATACAGTGAAGTTTTTTACCGCCTTTTTTTATCATATTTCAGAAATAACACTGAATAACTGGTCGTTGACCAATAAGAACTTTGTTTGGCCAGCTCTTAACATGAACAATTACTTCATAAACAATGACATTTCTTGTGTCAATTAATCGTGCTTGCTAAAATTTGTCCTGCCTTCGGAGGCGAAATGCAATTTCTAATTTCCCGCTTTCATTAACTTAGGCTACAATCGATTACCTCCCATGCGAAAAGCCAGTGCCCGTTGAGGGGGCGCTTTAAATACAGACCTTGTCGCTCAAACGATGGAAATGTGCCGCCATCGTGTGAAACTATCCAGCTAAGACAATTCTTAGTTTGAGATATTGCAAAAAAGCAGAAGTTGGTAAGTATGCGTGTTGTCATTAGTTAGAAGGTATCTGATTATTTTTAATTTTGAAATATTCTTTGCAACCACAGCAGAGATTTCTTTGAAAATCAAGATATTTATCAAAATTTTGCAAATATGTGTTTGATGGTTGTTGCAATGTACAGTGTCGTTTACATGCACCAATTAAAGAGACTGCAGGAAAATCTTTGACGGCTAACTATTTACATTGCATGCCTTCCTTGCACTCTTATTACGAGTAATGTCTGGTCCACGCACGTGATTACCTCCCCTTGAATGGATGAATGAATCAGCTGTAAAATATAAGCATTCAGAAAATGGTAATTGCGTGAGTTTGTTTCAACGCAACTTTGAACAGCATTTCGATTGTGTCATTGTATGCCAGCTTCATGTGTTACGAAAGCCCAAAGTGATGTAGGTCTTAGACAGTCACACCTTTGGTGAAACCCACCGGGGAGGGACACTAGGGACAATAATCAGTGTGAATCTGGGATTCAAACACGAGCGATGCAACTCAGCACGACAAATTGCAGGCGGTTTGCTGACCGGGACGCTTATACCCCATAATTGCATACCTGTCAACTCTCACGCATTTATCGCCTATGTCACACGCAAGGTTGGGAAATTCTCACGCATTCATATAAAAAAATGTAGATAAAAATATTTTGAAACGCTTTTCTCTTTCGATTTATCGCGATTGCAACCAACACGACGAGACTGGGTTCATTCTTTCCCCTTTCCCATATATTTTTCAGAATACATGCTCTCTAAAGCCATTAAAATGGTCTTAAAATCATTCAAAACCAGTTTTCGCACAAATAAATGGAAAAGGATAGAAAGTGACCCTCAGCCTAGTGCCACTATTAACATTAATGTTTTACACAGTGACACTACTGTAGTTTAGATACACCTCCAGACGAAGAAAATAGCTTTGTCTGGTCAAGGATTTATCTCAACTTATCAGAGGCCAATATATGACCCCAAGTCTGAAGCAAATCAGAGCACAAATTCCCAAATTGGTTTTAAAAATTTCTCAATTCATGTTTGTATAGTTACAACTAATGTTATGGCTGTGTAAATGTATCTTGTATTTCAATGATAGAACGACAAATTTAGAGGAAGAAACCTGAGTGCTTAATATTGCATTATTGCAATGAATACCATGTTAAAAGGCAATGTTAAAATACCTCTGATTAAGAAAATAAAACTTACTTACAAATTAAGTTTTGTTGCTAAGGGATGAATCCCAAGAGGTCTCTCCTTTCATGACACGATGCTATACACCATATAAGTAGTTCTACAAAACATTCCATGTACACACATGCCTTGAACTGTTTGTTATAAAATATAAAAAATAAAATGCCTCCATCCTCTCAGAAATATTTTTTTGGGAGGAGACTCTAATACATTAATTTATTGTTGCCTCAGTCTCATGTTCTGTATGTTGGCTGTCTCCAGAGATGGAAACGTTGCAAGACGCTGATCACGAGAGCACTTTACGACAGCGGTTTGAGGACCTTCGGAACTACCAGTCCCTATGTGATGTGACGCTGGTCAGCAATGATGGGCACAAGTTTGAGGCGCATTATCTCTACTTGGCCGTCAACTCTGCATATTTCCATCAAGAGTTGTCTCTCTTTAGAAAGGGTTCTATGCTGCCTTCAACTGTCTTTATAAATATTGGTAAGGAGATCTCCGTGAACAGATGAGTGTGAATGTGAATGCTGCTATGAAATATATGTAAAAGAATGTCTAAGGTACCTTGCTCTGACCAATTAAAATGCTGACCAATTAAATTGGGAATTGTGAACATCAGAATAAGAGCTTTCATTTGAAAAGCCACAAGTTGTCATATCAAAGTGGTGACTTTGACAGTTTGCAGACAGAGAAGAGCTTATAGACATTAGAACTGTATGAAATTAAGCCAGAGTTAAGGGGTTCATCAGGGGTGTGGAAAATCAATCTTTACCTTCTCCGACTTGTTACATGGTATTGTCCAACAAGCAAATACTTTTAAATTTAGCACACCATGAGCATGCGTAGTCAGTGTTGATAAAATATTTGTAAGGAGTACAAAACGTAGCTTTAAAAAAATGTAAACTTTGTAGGGCTTGGACGATGCACCAACTGTGCGATCAGATACATATCATGATACCTCGTACACGATCTGATACCTATCACAATACTTGCATGTGCTCCTATCTGTGGTGTGTAAGCCATGTTTTTCATAGAGAGGATAGCCAAATACCTGGCACAGTGACGATTATCAGTTGGTAGTGTCAAGTATGACGCAATGAATGAAAATACTTATGTTTTGACTACTAATTTTCACTACTAGTTAGTGTTTGATGTAACAGTTATTTAAGTAAACATTTAAGGTATGAATTGATATTTTTTGCTTCGTGTGCCACAGTGATCGATACTTGTATCGAGAAGTAAAAAAACGTGATCCAATGATTCATCGGTATATCATCCCACTACTAAACCGCATTGTATTGTTTACTTCCTTGTTCGTGATTTTGGACGCACTCTCTGATTTGTTGATCCGAGTACCATGCAGCCATGGTAGATCAAATGGCAGCACAAAATGTATGGTTTTCATTTGATTACAGCCAAGCAATAGACAAATTTATTATTCATGGATTCCACACCGTTTTGGTCAATGGGGACAAGTTGACTTCATCGCCAGACAAGCGAATTGTTTTTACTGGTTACAATTTTGATATTTCCACACCCCTGGTACACGTGTATGTAATAACCCTGAACCTTAAATCACCTACCATGTTACCTCTTATTTTATAACACTTTTTAGGTTCTCAGTGTCTATAATTTAAATGCTGATTAATGAGATTTGTATTCTATTGCAGATGTGCCCTCCAGTATTTTGGGTGTTCTTTTAGATTATGTGTACACTGGAGAACTTGCTGTCACAAAAGAAACTATACAAGAAATTGAAAACATTGCTGTGAAACTTAAATTTGAAGATGCTCAAAGTTTACTCTCTAAATCAAAGTACTATTCCTCTGTAAGAAAAAGCTGTTCAGAAGAAATAGGAGTTTTACCTAAAACTCTTTTAAAGGGTGTGTTTACTCCATCTATGGATACTGCATGGGATGCCAAAGACAGTGAAGAACAGTATGATCAAGACTCAAATACAACTGATGAAGAAGTGTTACAAGACGCCTATCAGGACTTGGATGCAGGGCCAGGATCTGTGAAGAAAAGGAAATCATCACCTGTCAAATCTACACCAAAAAAGAATGTTTTTAAGTCTGAAAAATGTTTTGAACTTATAGAAGACATTCCAATAGAGACAATGAGCGGAAGAAAGAAAAGAACAACAAGCAGGACTGCAAAAGACAAATCAGTTGCTGCTGCAGAACTCCCAAAACGTAAATCTGCCCGAGGTTCCAATGCTGGTGGATCTTCTTTGTTCAACTCTGATGTGAGTAAAGGTTCAGGTGCAAGAAGATCTGTGAGGAATTTGTCAAAGGTTGAGCAGAAGTCTAGCACATCTGGACAGACTGGCAGCCCCAAGAGGACAAGACCAGTCCGACAAAAGATGGCTATAGAACCAGGCAAGAGACAGTCTTCCAGGTTACAACAGACTTCATGGAGTAGACTGAGCTATGCCAGCACTCCAGAAGTATCTGATGAAGAACTAGAGGGTGAAGAAGGGAATTACGATTTTATTGATGATGATGAAACCCTCCCTGAACAAACCACTGACTCCTTCAATGAGCATGCATCTTTAGAAGACTTTTCTGAGTGTGAGGGGCAGGATGCCATTGTTAAAAAAGACTCCTATAAACAGGCCTTTTCTGGTACAGATCATAAGGCTGTGGAACTGCCATCAAAGAAATCAAGAGCCAAGTCCAAATCTAAAGACTCTAAGAATGTTAGTTTAAAAAGTAAACGGCCAAATCGAACAAAGCGCCCCCCAAAGAGATATGATCCATCTGATTCTAGTCCAAAGAGAAGAAAAAATAAGGTTTCTTCAAAGCAGCTGGAACTGTCCTTTCAACCATTATCCAAAAAAATCTCCCTGAGGTACCTGACAAGCCGTTGTACCCGGTGGGCATTCGAGGCTTCCTCCTCCATGTGTCACCATGACTACGACAAGAAGACTTGGCAGTGCTGCCGCTGCCCAGAGAGCTTCTCCATGTACAGTCGATGGAGACTGCATTACAGGTAGGAGCTGACGTGCAAGGCAATGAACTAAGCCTTTTTATGTTTCTGATTTTTTAACTTATCCTGCATTACTCCTAAATGAATTTACTGCTTGTTCTTGACAGAAAAAGAGCTGTGAGAGGTCTTACTGAAGAAGCTCTAATCCACTTGAATCCTTTGCGTGTTTTGCAACACTATCATTCTTGTGAATTTTATTTGTGCTTACGGTTTGTGACATAATATCTTTCATGTGATTTATGCCCTAGCATTAATATTTATCACCTGTAAATATCAGGCGCATAGTAGTTCCAATTGGCCATTTTGAATTCATTTCATGGTCACATATTTTTGTCTCATGCGTTTAATTCATTTCAATTCATTGTCATTCCCTGGCGATATTATTGTTATATAAGTGGTGGTCTTTCACGTTCTTTGTGTAAACATATTCTCCATAAACCCACATGCCTGGGAAAAATGATTGTGGCATACATAATCAGACAGGGACACATTTTGATTACACTCTGCTATCACTGCGGATACATGCCACGCTGTAGCAAGTGCCACAGCAATAAATCTGCTCCCAGGCTACTAAGTGTAAAGATTGTCTGCCACTCTCACCTACAGCTTTCTCCAAATACCTGGCAGACACAGCAGGCCCGGAAACGTCTCAGTAAAAATACGTCTGACTCATCCGAGCCTACTACACCCAAACCAGCCATGACCATCTCTTCCTCAGGCGGGGTACCTCCAGCGTCCACCTCCATACCTGTATCTTCGTGGGGACTATGTCTACCTCCTCACCATCGATACAGACCCACTCTATCTTCGTTGATGTGACACTGGTGATGATTCTGAGCTTTGGGATTTGGACCTCCATCCTTCCTCCCGACGCCTTTCAAGCCACTTCAAACACCTTGCATGGATCCTTCTTGGATTCAACTAATGCAGTCAATGTTTCAGCAAGCAATTCCCAGGTTTATGGCTCTTCCGATGCCTTCAGCTTCTGTGACGCCCTTGGCGCCTCAGACAGCACCTTGTGTGGATCTTGGTGGCACCTCTACGATCCGTGCTTCTTCATCACATGGTTCTACCTTTCCTTCACCCGAACCTACCAGGCACGCCGTGACCGTTCCCATGGAGGGAGTGTGGACCGCAAGGCTAAACGTTGACGCGACAGATGCCAACGACTGGGACCTCTCACCCGCAGTCATTCCGGTCGTCGAGACCCCTGTAGGCGGGTGATTAGGATGTGTTGGTGGAATTGGGACATATGTTTCATTATTCTGCGGCGCAGTTTCAACTCACTCTGAGAGAAGACCTGCCTGACGTAGTCATCCACAGCAGACACCTACACTAATCTGCCACAGAGACTTCACACAGTGTCTCCTCTATTGGTTGGGTTGGATTGTCAATGTCAGAACTCACACCTTCGTTTAATCTCCAATTCATCGGAGGCCTCTTCCTGACCGACAGAGACCTCCTCTTAGTTCCCAGGGACATGTGGCACCGAATCCAACTCCACCTACTCCCTGCTTTCTTACAACCCCACACTCTGTGCCAGTAGCAGGCACTCCTGGGTCTCCTCACAACAGCGCAGGATTTGACCTCCTCGGGGAGGCTTCATCTGAGCTCGATACAGATGTTCCTTGTTCCCTACATCAGGTGCAAGGACCGGTCAGTCTCCATCGTCCTCCTGGATCACCTCAAGCCACATCTCCAATGGTGGATGATGGAAACGAACGTCTTAGACGGCCTCTCCTTGACAGAGCTCACAGCCTCACTCCAAAGCTGGGGAGCGCATCTGGAGGGTCAAGTCGTCTCTGGGCTGTGGTCCGTGCATGGCAGCAATCACCTTGGCACACTGACCTTCCACCAGGGGCCTTTATGACGACAAGTGGTGCTCCTTTGAGAGTTTCTGCAAGGAGAAACACCAGGATCCTGCCTCTGTGTCACCCCAAATCATCTGTTCCTGCGCCACAAGCGCTGTCTGAAGGGCAGCACCACCACAACCTACCAAAGATCCAAAGATGACCAAGATTCCGTAACTCCAAGCGCTGTTACGCTCCTTTTGTCTGGAAGACCAGAAGGCCAAGTTCAGACCACCACCCTGGGATCTGGTCGTGGTTCTTACACTTTGAGGTGCGCATTTTGAGCCACTCTACTCAGTGTCTACAACCTCACCAAGAAGACGGTCTTCCTCTTGGCCGTGGCAACAGCGACACCAGTGAGCAAACTACGCCGTCTAGACATCACCCGTGAGAGATTTGAGTGCACAGCTTATGGAGCCGTTCATCTTAGGCTGTGCTGGGACTTCATAGCCAAGAATCTACTCCAGGGACAGCCAACAGATCCTTCATCATCCCGCCCCTATCTTGTTTGAAGATGAACAAGAACTTCTACTATGTGCGCGTCGCATGTTACATGCTACACTGGCTTGGTAGGTCAGTTTTAGACTTTAACTACGTTTAATTTCTATTCCTGCAATGATACCGGGACATCATGCATACCTGATTCTCTCCTCCCTTTTTGACAGAAATGGTCACTCAATGCCGGATGTCGCTGTTGCTGCTTGGTTGGAGAGTTTTGGAAGGTCACATCTGAAGCTATGCCCTCTGCCGTACCGTCTGATGCAGATGGATTAAGGAGTAGTGCAGGATAAGTTAAAAAAATCTAGTAAAATCTAGATATTTTTTATATTTGTATACTTATCCTGCATTACTTTGTCTAAAGTGGCCCACCCGTCGCAGAGCTGCCTCCCCACAAGAACTGCCTCCGCAAACTGTCAATAACTGAAAAGTGATCTTGGTATTTTGTAACCTGGAACGATATTAAAAAGTTAATTAATTTTACGAAAAACAAGAGATGCAAAATACATGTATTGGTTTTAAGGAAATTTATATCAGTTCAGTGATCTTTGATGTCTTCTTCTTACATGTCGTAGGAGGGTCCTTCTTAAAGCATGACATGCATACTCTCTGTTACAGATCTGTCCATTTAGCGTTTATGCTTTTGAGGCTGAAGAAGATTAGAAACATGAGCATATTGAAACTGAAAAGGCCACCAAAGAAGAGGAATAGGTTGTCTCGGGGCAGTGTTGTAATGATGAACTCGGGCAAGGTTCGGAAGATGCCGGGGCCGAAGTGTACACTGTCGAGGGCTGCCATGGTCAAGTGTATAGAGTGTGGTGTAATGCTGGCCTCTCGGGCCTCCCTCAAGAACCATCTGCTGCAGTATCACAACTTGACACGACAACAGGTAGGAAATAGGACATCCCACATTTGTCATGGTTGTTGCAGATATTCTTCTAATGTCCTTATATTCTGTCGATTGGGAGGCTCGTGCTTCGCATGTTCGCTAGCCAGGCAGATCAACAAGGTTTGATCACTACTGGTCCTGATGAATGTTGAATTACTCTTCAGGGGACCAGCACCTTCGCAAACCCTGTTTTAACTGTTTCAATAATATTGTGATGGTTAAAAACACTGTTCCAGTTGAAGTACTTTGCATCTTTCACTCACTCAAGACCTGAGTGATATTCAAGCTGGTGCCAGTGTGCATTCCTGAGGGCAGATCAACAACACAGCATCTGTATGGCCTAGGGGTGTCCTAACATGCACACCTCATGCATACATACATAGTCCACCTGGCCCTGCTACCATGAGGTCATGTTATCAACCTGTCCTTGTTTAACTAGCATGACGGATCAGTCCGGCTAGTTCTGATAATTATGTGCAAGCAGATTTAGCATTTTCTCAGTAATAAGTGCTATGGTAATGCTGACCTGAGTAGGTATAAGCCTAGATTAATGCAAAAACATAACTTTTTGCAGATCAATACAGAATGAAAACATGAATCAATACTTGGGTAGGCATAACATGCATCATATGAGGTGTATCCGTGAATCGTGACTCCCCTAGTACGATCTGTAATGGAGATTACAGATTCTATGTGCTGTCCAATGTCTGCTCCACAGGTAGAACGCCACAAGTCTCTGCTGGTGTGCTGTGAGGTAACAGGATGTGCTTTTGCCAACATTGACATTCAGAAGGTGGAGCGCCATGTTCGTGAGAGCCACCCGGAGGTGCGCCATCCCTGTCCTGAGTGTCAGCGGTCCTTTGTCCGCCGAGACCTCCTCAATCAACATGTTCTACGGATCCATCAGAACCAGACCAAGTTTATGTGTTCCAGGTGTGGTGAACGCTTCAAGAAGTCCTGTGATCAGAAGATCCACGAACAACAGGTCCATGGAGTCGATCACAACTTTGTGGTAAGTGAACTTCATGTATCTGGAACAAATGTTCACGAATGAAACAAGCATGCCTTATGAAGAACTGTCTGTGACAAAGTTGCAATTTGAGCAAGTATCATCAGGCCATTCTCAAGGTTTATTTGTACTTGTAATTATTGATCATTAACCAATTTACAAAGAGGACACAGCTCCATTTAAATAAGCACAGAAAAATACTTCAAAGGTAGCTATGTAACTTGGAAAAGGCTTAGCATGTCTTTAGATCAGAAACTGGTTGAAATCTGAGAACAACTAGATGCTGAACCGGTGGAATATGAGGCGTACAAACCAAAAAGGTTTCTGTTGACATCAAGAATGATATTGACAAGCTTAGCCTTGACAGAACCTCTGTGGAACACAGGAAGCAGCAGGTGTGTGAACCAGGGACCGATGCAGAGGTCAAAATACTTTTTAAAAGCACTGCATGTTGCTGGCAGGAGCTAAGAAAGTCAAAGAGTCCTTGTTAATTTCAGGAATTAAGACAACCCAAGATTTAAATTTTTTAACAGCAAAGTACACTGGACCCCTTAAGGCTTATAAAAATAAAAGAATTGGTTCTCAGGCAATGGCTTTTGAAAATATGGTGCCTTTTGTTTGTTTTTTCAGTTGTTCAAATTAGTATGTAACAAAATACACCATTGTGCACAATCAACCTGGGAAAGGGCCCTCCCTACATAAATGTGTTCCTTGATGAGTGAAATACTGGAATACCGTTGAACTACCAGTGTACGCATAATAGACACATACAATGAACCAGAACACCGGAAGACGCATGTCAACAAATACGTAAGGAAGTGTGCAAGTTAGTCCTATTATTACACTATCTGGTGGCTGTTACTTACGTTTGTAATCCATTATATAACTTTCCTCAAAGATTTCATACAATTTTGTTCACATTAATTTCAGCGAAATCGTATGTGATCTGATCAGCAAATCACATCAACTGACCATATACTCACTTTGGAACAAACATTGGTCATTAGACATGTTAGAGATACATAGTTTTTAGTCTTCCTATCACTGTATTGAATTTTCTTGTGGCCATGACATTAAGTATTTTCTAAACTAAATCACCCCTAGATATAGAAGAAAATGTGTCAACAGCTGATTGCTATTTCCGGCTAATTTTATGAGACAAATACACATGTCACCTTAATCTCTGTGTATGGAACATTGTCCCGCATACAGTACACAAATACCATTGAATTTGTAAATCATCACGTCTAGTTATATTTTATCTTAAATTTCATGTTTGATCAAATTTGCAAATGGCAAAACAAGCACACAAACTCCTATTACCGCCATGACCATAACACATAAGACTAGATGCATCGTAAGGCAGTGTGCATGTAAAGGGAAGTAACTGCACGCTATATTGGATCGCATTGTGTTTTTAAGTATTGTAAAATTTCACTGCCGAGTTGTGTGTTCAAGAAGCGGAATATTTAAGGATTTTTGGGATGGATGGGGGAAATGGAAATAAAAACGAGACGTGCGTCGGATTTTGTGATGATGCAGGGGTGCCTGAGAACCATGACTATTTTTTTTTTAGCCTAATGTTGAACACTTACTTGTAGCCTGTGCACTGATAGAAACTTATAAATTCAATCTAAATTGGTACAATTTGAACCCTGGTCACTGCAGTGCTGTCACTATTTTCCATTAGATATTAACGTAACATTTCGAACACTGCTTGAGATAAACATCTCTTGGTCCTAATAACCAGTCTTGTCCATAATATCGACCATATTTACATGTGGGTAGATCAGTAGTGTATGTAAAGACATACCAAGATGACGTAGTCGTATCAACCGACATCCACTCCGACACTGTGTGGTTTTGGCTGCAGGTGTACAGCTGTAATGTGGAGGGTTGTGACTACCAGACAATCACTGCCCGATACCTGGACGCTCACAAGAAGGCCAAACACTTTGACAACAGAATACAATGCTCCTACTGTCCCACAAAAGTCAAAACCAAACTGTAAGTATGTAACTTTTACTGTAGATTCGGTAACAACAAGTTGGCCGGATGAGTATCTCAGACATGGCAGGATTTGACAAAATGTAATTTACTGATGCCATATAGATTGAGAATCTCACCCTTGTTTCTTTTGATATAAAATATATCAACACAAGTCAAGAAAATTTGAAGACTCCAAGGCTTGCAAGAGAGATTTATACTTGTATCAATAAGTGTTGTTGATATGTTTGATAGGAAAGACATTACGGTGAGATTCTATTTATCGTCCAAAATCATTCTTCCAGCTTTTCAATTTGTAAACAGAAACGACCAGTGCCTTGAATGCAAACAGTGGAGCCAGCCAGCTTCTTTGACAGTGAAGCATGTGATGATTTTTGATTGTGACATCATGGTAATCTATGATGGTAATGGTCTGTAGAGTGATGCAATTCATTCTGGCAATATCTCTATGAAGATATCACTTGATCTCACATTAGCGATATCTTCAGTTTTTGATGATAAATTATGTTAACACAGGTTTAGTTAAGTAGTTAACCAGATTGGTCAGATAAGAATGTCAAATGAAAATGTGGTAACAGGTACTCCTAGTGGGTGTCAAATCTGACGGAATTAAGGTTTGAGACACGACTTGTTTCAGAGTTATGGTAAACATTGTAAAAGTGTGAATGCCCGGGGATTTGGTTAAAACATTCATTGTGTATGTCTCTGTGGCCTGAGTTAGCCTGATTTTTATCCAGAGCGCTACAAATGCATGTCAATGCCCTGCACCTGAACAAACGTCCGTACCTGTGTGAGATCTGTGGCTCGGGGTTCTGTGACCCGTGGACTCTGCAGCGACACATTGCATTCCGCCACAGCACGACACGGGAATACTCATGTGACCACTGCCAGTATGCTTGCAACAACAGGATCCAGTTCATGAGTAGGTTGTTTTGATGATGACATCCACTTTATCACATCTCATATTGTGGGATGATTTTATAGTCATTGAAAAATTTGAGATTATCATTTAGCTCAGTGAGCTTGGATATTGCCATGGTTGAAATATTTTATTGAGTAGCTCCAGTAAAGCGTACTGTCCATAAGATGAGGGATGAATTGTGAGCAGCCCTGAATTGGAAATTCAAAATACTTTCTAGTACGACATTCCTTATTTATTTGTTGATCGTTGCGTGATTTGTACATTATTTTTTGCACTCGCAGCTAACCTGATGTTACAACATACGCAAGTGTAGCCAGATATAAAACAAATTGCATTAATTTCATGATTTGCAGTATTTTCTTCACAAAGGTTCCAGTGAGCTTATTACATTACTTTATGATACCCTGATGGCATAGATCGAATGGCCAAATGCAGGGTTTAACAGCAATAACGATCTTGACTGGTCAGAACTGTGTTTTCATAAGTCAGTGACATTATTTCACCAAGATGAATTCTGATATCTATTTCAGATCACACCTTCCAGCAACACGGCGTGAAGGCTGAGTTTGATAAACGTCAGGAGCAGACTTGCCCCGTCTGCAGCTACAGAGCCCTGTCAGCCAGCAGGATGAAGGCCCACATTCGCCATATTCACGCCGACCCACACAAGTACACCTGTGAAATATGTGGCAAGGGCTTCAAGAACCGCCACTATCTCCGCGACCACCAAGTGATCCACTCCGACTCCACCTACCAATGTCCGCACTGCGACTACAGCCCCTGGACCAGCGGCAAGCTCAAGAAGCATATCCGTACACAGCATATATTCAAGGACGTCAAGCCGTACAGCTGCCCGTATTGCTCCTATGCTTGTGCCTTAAGTGGAAACTGTCGGAAGCATGTAGTACACAAGCACCCAGGGTTTGATGTTAAGTACAATACTGACAAGGACATGCTAGCGTACATGAGGAAAGTGGAGTCCGAGCTGCATACAGGCAAAATTAAAGCAACAACAGCGAAGAAGGCCTAGTGTCAAGTCAGACTCTCAGAGACTTAAGAGCAGTAGGGTAGCCTTGTGATTAGTCCATTGGCTTGTCAGGCTAAAGACCCATGTTCAATTCCCACATTGGTACAGCGTGTGAAGCCCATGTCTTGTCTTCCATAATAAGGCTGGAATATGGCTAAATACAGTGTCAACCAATACTCACTCAGTGACTGAAATGGTAATTTGGCTGTTCAGTTGACAGCAGTTACCATGGCTACAACACCTTACTTCAAGTTACAGTCAGATCATCAGTTCAGTCTGGTGTTAGCTTATATCTCTTCTATCAACAGCTTCCAAGATCATTCACACCACTAATATGGATGTCTAGTTCCAGACTGGCACTGAAGCAGACTTTTCTCATTTGTAATATAGTTAGAACCTGAACCTATAGGATGTCCTCCTCCAGGGGATGTTGCAGCAGAAGTAGTTCAGTTCATGCAGACTGTCATACGGAAAGGAAACGTTTGATGAACTGGTTGAAGAACCACGTGAGCACCTGCTTTGCACTGCAGCAGAATGAGGAGGAAGACAAGAGAAAAGAGTTCATGTTAAAGACAAGAGGTATCTTTTAGAGCTTGGATAGGTAACTCTGGTACTCCGGTGGGGGGTGGTGAGGGGGGCTGAGTAGGACCCAGGTACCCACAGGACCACCTGGACCTGTGGTTAATCATGTGATATATTGTTTCTGGCTAAAACTCACTATAGCTCAGTGGTTACACTACAAGTCGCCAATGTTCGCATTTCTTTTTGACGATGCACACATTCCTTTTGACTTGTATATGTTTGAGTAAAGATAAAGCTTCAGTCAACTTCGGTGTATGGATGATCTGATTGTTTGATACATGTATCTAAATAGTTTTTGCCAGGGCTGCGGTAAAACAGTTCCCAATCAGACATTTTGTTCCCAACTCTTGAGATCTACAGTGGGTACCTGGGTAGGGTTGGGTAATAGGGGGTCGGGTACCTGGGAAGTAAATTTGGACACTTCCCAGCCCTATTATCTTTAGTATTGACCACAGTTTAAGTCCTATATGATTGTTCCATTGAACTGATTGTTTGGTTGAATACCTGTAACATTCAAACACAAACTGCTACTAGAATACACATTACAATTCCGGACAGGTAAGTTACTGTATCGCCGTTGATTCCAGGAACATGACTGGGAGGATACATGTTAAATGTACCTGTATGTTATGGCATGTTTAGTTATGTTTGATAAGTGCATGGATAGGTTTGATATGCAGTATGTACACAAATACTTACTGATGCGGTTAAAGGTGGATTTTGTTTCAAAACAAAGCCAGTTTGAGGGACTTATCTAGTCATTTTCAGATGCTTGTAGTCAGCATGCATCAGCCCAAGATTAACAGTGAAGGTCTGTAAACTGGAATGAAAAAAAGCTTTCCATAGTTTATCATTTTTATTATTTTTAATTAAAAGAAAAATACCTAAATACTTAGTTTTACATGATTGCATTGAATGCAGGGCTAAAATATTCCTGAATTTATATAAATAAGGAATCTTAATCAATATGATGTTTTTCCCTTGATTTGCCTGTCACTTTTACTTGGTTGAAAGTCCCAGATAAATCCCTGAGTTTAATACAATATGTTTCTTGGTATGTAGGTATACTATATATATCACGTTGTACTGTCATTCTGATATATAGTGTGTTATCAGCCACCTCACACATGAGTTGCAGTAGAACATTAACATATGCTCCTCAAAAGAAGTTAATGAACAACTGATTCTTTCGGAGAATCAGTGGTGCCGGGTGTTGGTGACCTGTTGGGCTACCACCAGGGATCCAAAGCTGTGAACGCCGGCAACATCTTCCACGGCTACATCACGAAGGTAGTGTTGGATCACTAATAACAGCCTTCCATCATCGATTTGATGGAGCAGTTACTGCGAAGCATCATGGTAGATGCGACCTCCCTGATCTCATGTAGGTTGTTAGTCTAATCTGGTGACTTTATAAGCTTGGAGTATGACTGCCTGCAGCCACAGGGAAATAGGCTCCTAGGGCTTTCTGTAGACTTGCCAGGCGTGCAGACGAAACCAACCAAAATCAGTGTCAGGTGCCGAGTGGCCTGGATCTTTTGAAGAACCTGGAAGGAGAACCGGAGGCGGAAAAGTGTACGTGCTTAATCCTTCCCAGGGGACACTGAAGGTGTTAACAGCTACAGCGGCCGGATCTGGGAGGGGTGAGATGTAAGTCGACAGCTGGCAATTCTGAGATGTGGCGAACAGATCGATGTTTGGGGTGTCGATCGTTTGACAAAGTCTGGTGAAGACCTCTGGGTGGAGCTTCCATTCGGCGGAAGCCACCTTGTCCGGCCTGGACAGAGTGTCTGCCAGAACATTCTTTTTTTATTTTTTTTATTTATTTTTTTATTTATTTTTTTTAATTTATTTTTTCTTTTCTTTTTTATTCCCATCATTTCAAATACAAAGTATACATGGAACATATTACATTAAGATCAGCATGGTATATATTCAGATCACCTTGTTGTACATTCAGTAGTTTGTTTCTCTGGTACATCTGGTAGATCTATATATAAGGTTTCTATACAGAATAACAGACAAATTGTAGTATTAAATCATATCTTGGTATTCTTGAATAATGTGTGGAATGAAGACCAAAAAGAGAAAAATTTAGCTTGTTTACAATTTGAGAAAGCAATAGATCTTGTAACTTCATAATATTTAATTATTTCCCACTTTACTTGTTTAAAATGTGGAATTGATTTCTTTCTCATTTGTTTATAAATTACAAATTTTGCAATTAAAAATATAATATTTAATGGGTTATTGTTTTTTCCTTTAAATCCAAATAAAAGATTTTGATTACTACAATCAATACTTCCTTTCACTGTTGTCCCTAACCAATCTTTCAAATCCTCCCAAATATGAATTGTATATTGACATTCACAAAACATATGAATAATGGTTTCTGGGCAAGTTTTACAAAGAGTACATGTGGGGGTATCTTCATAACCAATCTTAAATAAATAACTATTTGTTGCAAGAATATAGTGTAGTATCTTAAGGTGAAACCAAATTAGGCTTACACTTTGTGTACATCTGTAAACCATCAAATTATATATTTCCCACTCTTCATTACTAAAATCTTTTTGTAAAACATTTTCCCACTTAAGCATACCATGGGTTTTTACGAAATTTGGTTGTAGAAGAGTGTTATAAAAGTCTTTACTTCCGCCTTTACAATTAATTATAAGTGATACATTGAAGGGTAATATTGGTCGTAAATATATTCCCGTATAATTATCTAAATTGTTGGTTTTACAATATTGGTGGACAGCACTTAATAAACCTTGATATGTAAGAAAATCAGTTTCAATTTTGTATGCTTCCCCAAAAATTCTTCATAGGTATATATTTCCCCGCTATCCTTCAATAAATCACAAATAAACATTAAACCTCTACAGAACCAATTTCCATAAAATACCGGTTTTCCCCCAATCATAATATTGTTATTATACCATAGTGATTGGCTTATAAATTCAATTTTAGTCTTTATTTTATTCATTCCCAGGTATCGCGACCATGCCTCCAAAACCTCTTTCCAAAATAAATTTACAACATTTGGGATGATGTAAGTATTAATGTTCATAGCATCTGCCATCCATAGTAATCTGTTTCTATTCGGTATACAATAAGAAACTAGAGTTGACCACTTGGACTGACTATACAGTAATCTCTTCACCCATACTATTTTTTGTGCTGCTATAACATCTTTTATAATGGGTACTTTAATTCCTCCATATTTTTTAGGTAATGAAATATTGCTTCTCTTGATTTTGTCTGGTTTACCCTTCCATACAAATCTAAAACATTTTTTTTTGAAAATTTTCAATAGTTTCGACTGAAGGATTTGGTATTGCAGTGAATAAAAGGTTTAGTTTTGACAATAGAAGTGATTTTAAGACTACATTTCTGCCTATTGGTGTCAAACTTCTTGCTGACCATTGATTCATTTCCTTTTCAATTTTTTCCAGTTTTTCCTCATAATTAATCTCCACTAATTTTTCAAGGTCCACATCAAAATTTGTTCCTAACAATTTAAATTTTGTACTTGTCCAATCTAACTTCCATTCTTTACATAGTTTATACCGTGATCTCTTTTTGGATCCAATCCATATTATTTTGGTCTTATCTGTATTTACCTTTAATCCTGAAAATCTAGCAAAAAACTGTAATGTATTCATTACTGCATAGAGGCCATTTTCTGTACCATCTAAACTTAGAGTAGTGTCATCAGCAAATTGAGCTAAGATATGTTCTACATTTCCCATTTGAATTCCCTTAATCTTTTTGTTGCTCCTAATCATAATTGCCAGTATTTCAGCACACATAATAAATACATATGGTGATAATGGATCGCCCTGACGACAACCTCTAGTTAGTTTAATGAAAGAACTTGCAAAACCATTTACTAGAACACTTGATTCCATACCATTAAAAAATGTTTTTACCCACTGTTGTATATTTGGTCCAAATTTAAAAAATTCTAAAACATCTAAAATAAATTTTCTATCCACTGAATCGAAAGCTTTTTCAAAGTCTATGAGTAATAATAGACCAGGTATTTGGTATGTATCAGTATAATCCATTAAATCATATATAAGCCTCGTCACTTCTCCAATATATCTTCCAGGAACAAAACCTTTTTGGTCTTCATGTATAATTTGGGGTAGTACTTTTTTAATTCTGTTTGCAATTATTGCTGATGCTAATTTATATGAGGTATTCAAAAGTGATATTGGTCTCCAGTTTTTTAGAAATAATTTAGATTTGTTTTCTTTAGGCAAACATGTAATCAATCCTTGTTTTTGTGTTATTGATAAAGATTCATTTCTGTATGCATAATTAAGAGAATTTATTAGATATTTACCAATGTCATTCCAAAAGAATTTTAAAAATTCTGATGTAAAGCTATCAGGTCCAGGGCTTTTATCATTTTTCATATTTTTTAATGCTACAAGAGCTTCCTCATAAGATATTTCACCTTCTAAATTTAATGAAATATTTGTGTCTAGTCTTGGAATATTTATCTCAGTGAAAAGCTCTTCTAAATTAATTTGTGTACATTCTTCACTGGAATATAATTTTTGATAAAATAATTTTGTTTCTTCCAATATCTCATTTTGTTTTTTAATTACTGTTCCATCACTTTTTATCAATTCACTAATAGATTTATTTAAAAAAATTCTATGTTCTAAATGCAGAAAATATTTACTGGGTTTTTCCCCATACTCTATCCATTTTGCTTTTGACCTGACGAATAATCCCTGTGTCTTAAGTTTATATATATCCTCCCTTTCTGCTTTTAGTTCATCTATGGTGCTCAATATTTTGGTCTTTTCCAATTCTAATTCTACATTATCTATTTTTGTTTCCAGATCATACAGTTTAGTTTCTAATTCTTTTTCTCTAGCAATATTTTTTTTTTTTTTTGTGGATGAATAATATATTGACTCTCCTCTAATAGCAAGTAATATGGTTTCCCATATTGATAATAACTGATCATTAATCACATACCTTTTACCTTCCAAATATGTTTTATCCTCATATTGA